ATTTTCAATTTTTTTATTTTCTCTCTAGTCAAATTATTTGATTTGAAAAAATTATAGGGGTAAAATGGTTCAATTTTAAAATATGTGGTTTCAAGTAGTAAAGGTGGTGGCTTTGAAAATAAATACATTTAATATATATGTAATAAAAAAATAATTAAAAAATAAATTAATCGGGTTATTCGGGCAAACCCAAATAATATTTCTGAAAACCAAAACCGAACCGTATAAACTAATTGGTTAATCGGGTGGAGTCGAAATACCACCCGATTAACCAATTAGCCAACCCGTTTTGTCCGAATTCATATCGGGTCGGGCGGTTCTTCGAGTCGGTCCGATTAACTAGTAGCCCTAATTCTAATCACCTCAAACCTTTTATTTGGCATTTGTAGCTAACATATCCAAAATTCCAGAACCATTTTCATATGAACAGGCTTGTGCACATCCAGAATGGCAAGATGCCATGCAACAGGAACTTAATGCTCTAGACAGAAACCAAACCTGGGAGATTATTGATTTGCCCCTGGAAAGAAGTCAATAGACTGTAAATGGGTGTACAAGGTTAAGTATAATGTTGATGGCTCACTTGACAAGTATAAGGCTAGATTGGTTGCCAAAGGATATAACCAAGTGGCTGGAGAAGATTATGTAGACTCTTTTTCACCTATTGCCAAACTTGTTACAGTTAGGCTATTGATTGCCATTGCTGCTGTTAGAAACTTGAATCGTCATCAATTAGACAGGCTATTGATTGCCATTGCTGCTGCTAGAAACTTGAATAGTCATCAATTAGACATCAACAATACTTTTCTGCATGGCTATATTAATGAAGATTTTTACATGAAGCTACCACCTGGTTATCCTCGTTCTGATTTTTCTTCTTTTTCAAAGGTCTGCAAGTTAAAGAAGTCCTTGTATGAATTAAAACAGGCATCAAGGCAATGAAACACAGAATTTACTCATCAATTGAGTTCTTTCGGTTTCCAACAATCTTCCATTGATCATTGCCTCTTTGTTAAAACAGAAGGACATAACACTCTTTTTTTACTGGTTTATGCGGATGATGTTCTTCTTACAGGCTCTTCTGATTCTATGATCTCCTCCACCAAGCAATTCCTTCATCGTGCCTTTAATATTAAAGACCTGGGAGCTGCCAAGTACTTTCTTGGAGTTGAGATTGCAAGAACTGATGCAGGCATTGCTCTTCATCAACGCAAATACATGTTGGATATCATTTATAATGCTACTTTGCTTGGCTGCAAATCAGTCTCCAGCCCTTTACCCAAATGTCTCAACTCGCATGATGCAAAGAGTCCTCTTTATGGTCAGCCTAATCAGCATCGAAGATTAGTGGGATGATTACTCTATCTTGGTTTCACCAGACCAGATGTTACTCATTCTACCCAGTAGTTGAGTCAATATGTTCATACTCCATGAGATATTCACTGGCAAGCTGCGTTGCATGTGGTCAGATACTTGAAAGGCACTCCATCTCTGGGTCTATTCTATCCAAGCAAATGTGATCTTACTCTCAAAGTGTTTTGTGATTCGGATTGCGCTCAGTGTCCTTCCACCAGGTTTTCACTCACAGGATATTGCATATTCCTTGGTACTTCACTTGTTTCTTGGAAAACGAAGAAACAAATCACTGTTTCTCATTTATCTTGTGAGGCGGAGTATTGTAGTATGGCTTACACTGCCTCTGAAGTTCAATGGATCCATTCCATTCTTCATGATTTTCAGGTTTCCTCAATTCTTCCTACTCCTTTGGTTTGTAACAACAAAGCAACCCTTCACATTGCTGCTAATCTAACCTTCCATGAATAACCCAAGCATTTGGACATGGATTGTCATCTTGTGCGCAACTTATACAAATCAGGCTTCTTGGATCTCTATCACATTCGTACTACTTTACAGCCTGCAGATTTGTGCACCAAAACATTACTCTCGCCTCAGTTTTGTTTTTTATTGTCCAAACTTAGCCTCAACGATCTCTATAATCCTTGTGCTAAGTTTAAGGGGATCAAGGAATTGAAGGATCATCTTGAGGTGTTGACAGACGTTGACATTCAACAGCATCGGGTTGAAGATCCAGCTCCAGTTCCATCAGCTTCAATATTCGGATGATCACACTATCCAGGAAATCTTTGGAATAGGATGAAGTGTCGTAAATACCCTTAGCTAGAATAGATGTGTAAATACTTAATAGGGTTATACGTGTAAATTCGTAGCTTAGTTACTAGTATATATTAAACCCTTAAGACACATTAATGATACGGTTAATCATTATCAATCATACAGATTTATTTTCCCCAAATTGATTTCTTGATCCTCTGCCATACCGTCTTCGCCATGACCAAAACCTTCCAATTTTCAAAAATGAATGAGTAGAATTAACGATGAACGAGTAGAATTGTCTAACAGAAGTTTTAGCCATATAAGCGTCAATTTTTCTTTTCTCCCAATTCCCTTCTTCCCCGGTTTGATTAGTTTCTCCTCATCTCCAATTTCTTTTCTCTAGTCCTCTAGATTTTGAACTCTAACATGGTTCCGATTAATTCCGATCGTGAGTATCCAGGCTGACGGTTCTTGGACAGCGCTCTTTCAAAGAACAATCAGAAAAAAAATGGAAACAAGTGAAGCGGAGTTTCAATTGAATGTAATTGGTCAAATTTTGGAAGCAGTTGGTAAAATACAAGCTGTATTGAACAGTAACTAAGGTTCACAGAAAGAAATTTCTGATGCTGCCTCAGAAACAATCACCAAGTCGGACGTGGATAATCTGGAGAAGCGAGAATTAAAGTATTGAATCTCTTGGTCTCGGCGTCTAAAATTGGAGCTTTGGGCAGTGATACTGAACTGAGGAGTCCACAGCCGGAGATGATTCCATAATTTACGCGAAGGACTTGCCGGGTTTGTATGGAGAAAATCTTCGTCGTTGGCCTCAAATTTGGAATAAATTCTGTGCTCAAAATAGTATTACAGACTGTAACAACAAAATGGATGAGGTAGAGTGGTATTTGCATGGCTGCGCTTTGACATGGTTTGAAGCCTTTGAGAAAGAGATGGAAATGTGAAAAGTTTGTAACCGATTTATACGATAGTGTTGTGATATCAAATATAGCGAATAATGAATCTGAATCTTGGATGAATGGTGATTCGGTTATTGTGGATGTGGTTATTTCTGAATGCACGAGTTCAACTGATGAGAGTAGGAATTGCGTGAAAATGGATATAGATGTCTGACTTTAATCGTTGATTGATATTGTTGGTAAAGTTAATATGCATGAAGCAAGCGAGAATATTGGGCAGTCTATGGACAAATTTACCTCACCTAAAAGCAAAAAGTGTTTCCGCGATAGGAGATATGAAGTTTTATGTGGCAGCAGTCCTATGAGTTCAGATTTTGGAATATTAATTACTGGATTTAAAGGAGGAACTGGAAATTGGAATTTCATTGGCAGTATGTTAAATGTTTATTCTGCTACCTTAGTGAAGCTAGGTCTGGTACTCAGACTGAGCCATTATTTTGTTAAATTCAGGGAATTAGGTCTAGACTGGGTTGAGAGTAATTCAAATAGAGCTAGAAGTTTGGCATATATTCGAAGGTATCTTGAACTTCTAAGGCACAAAATGAACGGTAACCAAATCTTCCGAAAAATAAGCCATTCTGATTTATCAATGAATTCCGAGTTGCTCTGTTTCAAACATTACGCTTTATGTCACAGTATATCGTTCTACTAGGAGTTTTTGTGTCTTCTTGCGAAATGGTTGTACAAAAGAGTTGGTAGATATGAATCTTCATACTATAGTATTTAGTTGGAGAACACATGAGTCAAGGACTAGTTTGAGTATTAAAAAAGGGTTAATCAGAATAGGGATTTATGGTTCATTAGTGTTGGAAAATAAATTTTATCAAGAGAAGAATCATAAATTTGGGAATGATAGGCATGGGGAACTTGTGAAATTAATAAATGGATCTCTAGAGTTAAGCCAATTTACTTGCAAACTGTTGATGGAGTATACCTCGGATATGTATGTTTGTGTACTGAATATTAATCTTGTTGAATCTAAAAATCACCAAGAAGGCACGCTGGAATTCAACACGGGTTGCAGAGATTGGAGAAATTTGTAGCAAACTTCGGTTGTTTAGGCATACTGAAGGTTTTGAGATTCTTGTAGTGGATATCAACATAAATGAGTGGAAACTGTTAGTTGATTATTATTCTGATCATGTTACAAAGAGGCATAATTCAAGTTCTGAGTTGAATTGTTGGGAGCTATTTTATACAAAATGGATGTCTTCCTAAAGAAGGATACAGGGAGTGTTGGCATTTTAACAGCTCTGGTTTGCAGCCATAATCTTTTTTAATAAAACCATTAGCTCTCTGAAATTCATAAAAAAGCGCATCAACACTGGTATGGTTGAGAAAGACTGGTTTAATGGCTGGCTCATTTGTTTTCCTTGGTTAACTTTTGTTAATATCTTTGGTGGAAGCAAGATAATTCCCAAGTCTTGGGTTCCACTGGTAGCTACCATTTATAGAGAGGGTGATACTTCCTTTCTAAATGAGAATAAGATCTTGGATTATCCTGTTATTTGCAGGACGATTCCTGCATATATGTTACTTAAGGGCCTTAGAAACAGTGAGGAATTGCTGAGCTTCAAATTAAGGACATGCGAAGGGTGGATCAAACATTTAAATTCTCAAATCAGAAAACTTCACAGACCTCGGTTGCTCACTGTTTTATTTTTATGTTTTAGCCTTGAGGACAAGGTCATATTTAGGTGGGGGAGAATAACAAAGCTCAACTGCATATGAAGGTTTTAGATGCAGTGGATACTGGTTACTTTAGCTTCTTTTGGGTGTTTATTGCAAATGAGCAGCACACCACCGGCATCAAGTTCAATATTGTGAGTTATTTGCTCTTGAGAATATGTGCTGGCTTGCTAACATCAAAAGTTAACATACACAACAGAGCTGCTATTAGTGATTTTAGTAATGGAGGAGTCTTCCTTAAAGAGTTTGGTGTTGAGACTTGTGGAATTCAAATTTCTGGATAAGCAAGTGTTTGTTATGGGAGTGAGATGGGTGAAAAGAGATTTAGTAAAGCCACCTATAATGCAAGTGCAGTGGAGAAGCACAGGTTATTTGATAATATTCTTGCTCAGATTTGTTGCCAGGATAATTATGAGAGAATCAAAGGTTTCTGGGTAAAACGCGGAGGTGTATATGCAAGAGCACAATTTATCTAGCAGCTTTGTGGTTTCTCACAGAAGAAGATGGATGAGGTGGTGACTGAATTCCTGCCGGACTTTAAGGCAGATCCCTGGAAGCCAAAGGATGGCCTTTATTCGTCGGGGCATACATAGTCTCAAAAGCAGCGATTAATGCGTACACAAGAATTGTGGCAACGAAGCTGCCAAACGTGAAGATCAATTGCATCTGTCCTGGTATTGTCCGAACTGATGTTAACCACAACTAAGGCAACATAACTGCAGAAGAAGCTGCTGAAAAGATTCTTGAGCTTGTTATGCTCCCCGATGACGGTCCCTCTGGCTTGTTTTTCATTCGGGGAGAAGTGTCATCCTTCTAGACTCTAATGAAACTGGTTCTCCATGATCGTAATTGGATTATCATTTTTTTTATATAGATAAAATAACTGGGTACAACAGTACAAATGTTGTATAATCCATTTCTCATGCATGAGCTTGTAAACACTGTCCTTAAACTACTGTTGTGCTGTAGATAATATTCCCTCTGTCCTGAAATGGTTATTCAGTTTGAATTGTCATTTTAGTGTAAATGAAAATCTAAATTGGATAATCGTTTTGGGACGGAGGAGTAAATATTTTGTGACCATGATTTCTTTAAGACTAGCTGCAAATATTTCTGTGCAGATTGTGAGCAGCCATTTCACTATAAGAATCCTTGTAATTGCCAAACGAGACATCATGGACATCTAGCACTTGGACCAATACCAAAAAGTATCCGTCACTTCTCAAAAAGAAATTTTTGGAACTTTTGGACAAAGTGGAAAATGCAGGCATACCATAATCTTGGATTATTCTAGTGTGTTTCTAAAGAATTAATTTATCTACACACGGTCACTATTACAGTCACTTTTCTCATGCATTTATACTGTTCGGAAGAAATCCTAAACGGGAACCCGCTTTGATTCCGCACACAAACGCAATTCTGCAAGATTTAGGATTGTTTTCCTGATATTAGTAGGATCAAGAATTGCTGATTCTACAACTTAGGATCACAATTTTGATATCAGTGGTTTCATGTTCATTCTTTTCCAGGTAAGGGTTATCCCTCAAGCAAGGTGGACAATGCAGGAAAAGTGGAGCAGAATAGACAAAACAATGACGCTTTTACTGCTGCGAAAACTGCAGGATGGTAAGTTTGAAGCTAAATCCATGTTAGTTCCGTTCTTTCCAGAATATTTGCCAATTGCAAAAGATTTGATATCTTTATACTTTTTCTCGTTGGGAACAAATTTGTACCAGGAAACTCCACTTGTGCGTGGTTGTGAGTCTTTTGATTGATGGAAAAGAATGCACCTGAGCCAACTCTTCATTTCATTTTGAACTGTTCTTTCTCTTCTTTAAGCATCACTTGTTTGAACTCTCTCATTCTTCAATAAGGACTTTTTGATAGTTATAATAAAATTCATTTTATTATAATCTTTTATGCCTAATTTAGTTATATTTTGAAGATTATTAATAGACTTTATTATTATTTTGTGTTAATGTAGTGAAACAATGAAAGATGGACTGTTTTGAGGTTTACTGACTGCTTTATGGAGTTAAAAATGAAAAGATTTTACCACAAGGAGATTAGTCAAAGCTCTTACTGGAAGATTTTCTTTACCAAATCAAAGAAATCCATTTCTTGATTTTCTCCACCCGTTTGACCGACCTGATTTGGTAAAAGATTTGCAGCAACAACTAAATCCATTTGGATATATTGGAAGTGATTTGAGATAGGTTGTTGTACCTTTTTTTTAGATTTTTCGGTTAGGAAAACATCACTATAAATAGAGTAGTAGTGGTAGGCTTCAAAGAACATAAACATGTAACAAGCATTAGGCTGTTACCACTTTTCTCCATTTTTGCCACCATCTTCATTTAGCCTTTTGTTTTAATTTTTTTTGTCTACACCTTTAAAGATGTTTCTAGTCACTATGAGTGGCTAGTTTTCTTCATTTGGTTCAAGAATTTTTATTCATTTATATTATATATGAGACTACAAGTTTCACTTTATTCTTTTCTACTTTTTGACTTTAAGTATTTATTGATCTTGATTTCTTTTTATGAGAGTAAATATTTGATTAATCTGACAATTTAATCAAGTGTTTTCTTCCTACTGCTACCAAATTGTTTATGCTGCGCTATCGTCTTAAACATTTGGCACTAAGTAGCACATTAGCAGATTATGCATGTTGGTAGTGACACGTTGAATGTGCATAATAAGTTTAACTAGGAGATCAATAGGACAAAAACATTTTAATTGCAGCTATCTCAATTATTTTAGTTTTTGGTTCAACTAAATTTTCAAAGTTTTTATTGCTAGTATAATTTAACATGGAACGCTATCGTGCCCAGTTAAATTATACTAAGTTTTGATTAGGTGCTGGGCTTGGTCAAATATTTTTAGAAAATATAAGGCTTTCTACGGCTATCCTATTAAGCCTACGGTTGAATGCTTGAGTTGTAGAAAAATGTATTTTTAGTCGATGATCTATAATATATTTGAATCATTCCTTGAACCAAAATTTTTCTTTTATAAATTTTCTCTCCATTTTTATTTACTTCAAATTGTCATTTTATTTTAAAGAAGAAAAATCCCCCTTGTTTGCATTTTTGTGAAGCCAAGTGTTAAAAGTCGGCTCTCCTGGGACTCGACCTGATTCCACTATTTCTACAATTTTATTTTTTGGTCTGTTTGGAATTCAGATTACTTTTTGCGGGTCTCGACAAAACCGTCACTTTTCAATATGGATTCCAGGTGTTCAAAAATTATTGACGAACTTTATCAATTTTGCCACCATTTTGTGCACAAAGTGGTGTCATAATGATGACTTTGGAAGAAAACTCCAACGGGATTACTAAACATTGCTGATCACTACAACTTTGAACAATTCAAAACCGTCACCTGGAGTATAACTAACTATATAAGCATCAGTTGACAACTGAAGATCCCCTGAGAAAATAAAGAGCGACCATTGAAACCTCGTGCCAATCATATGGCTGAATCCAAGAGGTATTTGTATTAATGTTCTCCTTTTAAGTTTGTTGTCCAATGTTAAAAGTTCCTTTTTTAGCTAAATTTACATATTGCCATTTAGCAGGTTTGCAGTTATTACTGGGTCAAAGAAAGGGCTAGGATTTGAGATTGTGAGACAATTAGCTTCTCATGGAATCACTGTGGTGTTAACCACCAGAGATGAAAAGAAGGGTACGCACTTCACAAGCTCAAAGAGTCATGTGAACTTATTGTGGATGTTATCTTTCATCAGCTTGATGTGGCAGATTCATCTAGTGTTTCCTTGCTTGCTGAATTCGTCAAGGCTTGGTTTGGAAGGCTTGATATCTTGGTACTGCTTGGTTCTAATCTCTTATTTTGTGCTTCAGTAGAGCTTTAATATGAATATTCCCATATCTTGCCTTTTTCTCAAGTTCATGATGATTATATGCTTATGTGAATTCTGTTACTAATAGTTTAATTCTGTTACTAATAGTTCCTGGTTTGTTGTCCAATAATCTTGACCATGTTTGAGTGTCTACTAACATGATAGTATTCTTTTTTTTCCTTTTTAATAATCTTTTTGGCGAAGAGGGCAGGGGTGTTAAGACATGATGCTAAATTGCCATGTTTCTTCTAAATCATAATGCATGTCAGTTGTACCTGTCAACTTCAGTTCCTAATTAAAAAAAAAATGGTTTGGAATGTGAACGCTTAGCATTATCTCACATTTCAAGTTCATTCACTTCAAGCTAATGCATTTTTAATAATTTTAGGCAAATAATGCAGGAGAAATCGGAGCCAGAGCAGATAGTGATATTGGGCAAGCTGCTGCTTCACAAGCTGCTGCAGGGGTCAAATTTTTTTTATTTTTTTTTTTATTTTTTTCCTGTTCCTTGAACTGCAGCTAAATCTGTTGGGTATAGTTTCTTTGATGAAATATTAGCCATGACTAGTGACCATTAGAAAGTTATGAGAATAACAAATGATGATACATATGGTATGATATCTTCAAAATTGTGCAGTTTTGTTCAAAATTTCAGTTTCCAATCTGCAAGGAATGTTATCTTGTTATTACAAAGTTTGATTTTCCCCAAATATGATTTGAAAAATCCTATGAAACCATATAAAGAACTTAAGAATTTGGCTCTTGATGTGTCTGTTTCACCGGTTAACATGCATATATGCTATCTAGTCTATGACAAGCTTTCTAAACGTTTGTTTCTTTCTTTTAACAATCTACAGTAGATTATGTCTGTCTACACGTCCAAAGGAATGAAAAAGAAAAAAAAAAAAAATTCAGAATGCTCAAAAATATTTTGGTCAATTAAAAAGCTCTCACCTGTTTGCATTTCTTTTGTGTTGCCATTTTCTGTCTCCGTAGACAGCTGATTGTTTTTTTGTACCGCGCCTTCAGCTTTCCTTGAGTTTCATGGCGGGGTTGGAGAATAAGAGTTGTGTTGTTTAATCTTGATTCTGCTGATGACTTTGTCTTTTTGAAACAAAGGCAAATGACTTCATTCCCTGATTCATTGCCAAAATTGCAACTTTGAGTCTGTAGGCACCAATTGGGCTTAAACAATATTGGATGGTACGAATTCTTGTCCCTGGAAACGGTCGATGAGGTACTGTACAAATTTCTGAAAGATGTCAAAGAAGGCTTGCTGGAAACAGAAGGCCGGCCATCTGTTCTCTCTGCTTACACATTATCAAAAACAGCCATGAGTGCCTTCACAAGGATACTGGCCAAAAACTACACCGAAATCATGATCAACTGTGTTGCCTGGGCTTTGTTAAGACCGAAATCAATTTCCATAATGGGGTTTTATCTGTCGAAGAAGGCGCAGAGAGTCCAGTGTGGCTGGCTCTGTTGCCCAAGGCAGGACAATCAGGACCCGGCAAAATGCGTCACCTTTTTAGGATCATATATCATTACACTAGATGTTTCTAATAAAAAATTATGCCGTAAGCATGCTTTGATGGGAAATGAGGCATAATTTTGAAGTTAAAGTCCCAAGCTGTGTCGTGTGAAGCAATCGAAATTTAAATATCCTGCATTTTTTTTTCTTCTATAAAAGAAAATTATCAGGCGTTTAAATGGCAAAAAAATCAACCACCCATAATCACTTCCCATCACTTCTAGATGTCGAAAACCCACATTAATTCAAGTTTGAAGATAATGTCAGAACTTTAACTCCCAACGGTTTAAAGGGTTGTTTTGGTAGACTAACGAATTCCGTGGCCTGCAGAAATTATCATTGATTACCATAGATTTTGCTCCTAACAGACGGCAGAATATTGTTTTGAATGTTTCTATGTTAGAATCAATCTTACATTCAAGTCATCAATGGCTCAAATGTGCCATGTGTAACTAACTATAGTGGTGGTTCTCTGGGTATAGTTTTACAGTATTGTAATATTTAATATATTTTTTATAATATTCTTGTTTAGGGTTTGTTATTGTCTATATATAGTCTGTATATTGTACATAACGATACAATGAATGAAATACAATTTCTCTATTCTAACTTGGTACAGAGCTAGCGTTTTTTTTTCTTTCTTTCTTTCTTTCGGTCGTGAGTTCTTTTTCTCCACCATCGCCCAAAATCTGTGGCTTTTAGCCGGCGTGCACCTTCTTCTCCTCTTTCAATTCCGTTCCGTCGTCGGTTGCATCTCCGTGCTGCTGCCGTCGTCGTTTCGTCTACTTCCTGCTACCGCCGCTATTTTCTGCTGCTGCCGTTGTTTTCTGCTGTTGCTGCCATTGCTCCTCTTTCAGTCCGCTGCCGCTGCTGCTGCCGGTCCCGTCTTCTTCTGTCTGCCACAGCCGCTGCTGCCGGCGTGTGATTAATTCCAGTTGCCTGCCGCCACGTTTTCTCCTGCTGCCGGCATGTGCTGCATACTGTGCCATCCACACGTGTTGCTGCTTCTGCTGGCATATTGCTGCTTCTGTACCATCCACCCGTGTTGCTGCTTCTGCCGACGTGTTGCTGCTTCTACCATCCACCCGTCCCTACCGTCGCCGCCTGCTGCTCTTTGTTCTCGGTGTTGGTGTTTTTTTTTTTAAACAAAAAAAAAAAACAATTGAACTTTATTAAGTCTTGCTTGCTTACTTTCAACGATGACTATCACCGACCTTTCATCCACCGACCAGGCTACCCATCTTCGGCCGGCGGCACCTTCTTCACGGACACCAGTATCACTTCTTCAACCTAGTCTACAGTCTCTCAATCATTCTTTTACTGTGAAGCTGCAATCTCGGACCAACTATTAGTCTTGGCGTCTTTAGTTTACTCCTTTATTGACTATGTTTCGTGTTACCGGTATTGTCGACGGCACTGAACCTGCACCGCCACGTTTTCTTCCTTCTGTCAGTGGTGCCGCGCCCCAACTCAATCCTGAGTTTGATATCTGGCAGCAAAAGGATCAGCTGGTCCTCTCTTGGATTCTTTCTTCCGTTGCTGAGGAGATCTTTCCCGTTCTCCAGGGCTGCACAACGTCGGCGGCAGCATGGACAGCTCTTCAGCAGGGTTTCGGCACTCTTTCTTATGCTCAACAGACCCAGCTTATTATGGAGCTCCACAGCTTGTAAAAACGTGACTTGTCAGTCACGGCTCTCCTCTCCAAAGCGAAGGGTATCGCAGATACACTGCAGCTTGCCGGCCATCGCCTATCTCCAGCGGAGTTCAATGCCATAATCTTTCGCAAGCTTGGTGCCGAATTCAATGGCATCATCGGATCTTTGCAGCAGCGATCTGAACCTCTCTCCTATCAAGATCTCCTTGGACAGTTAGTTTCGTATGAGGTGCTTCTTCACGCCCAACAACCGGTTCTTCAGCCGACGGCCATGCTTGTGCAGTCGCCACCTTCTCCTACGCCGCCTCAATCCTCTCATGCCGGTTGCTCGCAACGCGGCGCCGGCCCAATCAGTTTTCTGGTCGTGGTGGTGGTCGACATAGGTACACCCCTCCTGCGCCGGGTTAGACGTGTCAGCTTTGCGGCATCTTGAATCACACGGCCGCCACTTGCCGACGCCGTTTTGATGCTAATTTTGTTCCTCGACCCCCTGCCATTCAGCCGGCTGCTTATGCCCAGGCAGTTTCTCCTACACAACATTCGGGTGGTTTGTTGCCTCCTCCATCTTACCCGGAGTCGATTATGTCTTCTCAAGCCCATATGGCGTAGTATGCCCCTCCTGTCACGCCCTGGCATCCGGACACTGGTGCTACCGATCATGTCACGCCAGATTTGTCCTCTCTCAGTATCTCCAATGATTATAATGGTACGGATCATATTTTACTTGGTAATGGTGATGCTTTACCTATTTAGCATGTTGGTCAATCTGTTTTGCCATCGTTTTCTTGCCCTCTTTATTTAAATCGTGTTTTTCATGCTCCTTCTCTTACTAAGCCTCTGTTATCTGTTCAAAAATTTATCCGTGATAATCACTGTTTCTTTGAATTTTATTCTGACTCTTGTTGTGTTAAGGATCTTTCAACCAAGGAACTCCTCCTCCACGGTCGGGCTGATAATGGTCTCTATTGCTTAGATCTTCCTGCTCGTGGTTCCTTGTCTCCAGCAGCTTATCTTGTCTCTCTAGGTCAATGGCATGCTCGTTTAGGGCACCCTAATAATGTCACTCTTCTTACTTTGGTTAGGCAGTTTCAACTCCCTCATTCCTCTGTGTCCATGTCCACTTATAAATGTGAGGCGTGTTGTTTAGGGAAGTTGCATAGGGTTAGTTTACCTTCTACTTTTCATCGTAGCTCTAAACCTCTTGATTTAATTCACACTGATGTTTGGGGCCCTGCTCCTATTTTGTCATTCAATGGTTATCGATAGTTTGTACTTTTTATTGATGATTTCTCTTTATTCACATGGATTTATCCCATTAAGTATAAAAGTGATGTTTTTCATGTTTTCAAGCAATTCACAGCTCTCGTAGAAAATCAATTTGGCACTACCATTAAAAGTGTTAACTCTGATTGGGGTGGTGAATTTCGTTCTCTCAATTCTTTTTTTAAGGATGTCAGTATTGTTCATCGTTTAGCGTGTCCACACACTCATGAGCAGAATGGCACTGCTGAATGCAAAATTCGTCACATTGTCGACATTGGACTTGCTCTCTTTGGCCATTCTAGTACTCCTTTTCGGTTTTGGGGCTTTGCTTTTGAAACCGTTGTGTTTTTTATTAATCGCCACCCTAGTAAACCTCTTCAAGGTCACCTACCATTCACTATACTATATCACCAGCCACCTGATTATACCTTTCTTCGTGTTTTTGGCTGTGCTATCTATCCTCTTCTTCGCTCTTATAATCGACATAAATTCTCCTTTCGTTCTACTCAGTGTGTCTTTCTTGGGTATTCTCCATCTCATCTTGGTTATCGCTGTGTTGATGTGGTGAATAACCATCTTTATGTTGCTCGTCATGTTGAGTTTGATGAGAAACTCTTTCCCTTTAAACATCCTATTTCTAGTTCTCCTTCTTCGCTGCCGGAATCTCCTGCTACCCCTTGGTTGCGTGTAACCAGTTCTCCTGGTATGCTTGCTTCGTCTTCTGCATCCTCTTCGTCTCCTTCTAGTACACCAGTTCCTTCGTCTCCTCCCATCCCTCCGACTCATCATCTTTAGCTAGTTCTCCTGCATCCAGCTCTTCATCATCTGATTCCAGTCCTCCTCCGCCACCTCCTCCTCCTTCTTCCCGTCAGCATTCAATGACACTTCGTCCACACCACAAGCCCAAGAAAATCTTTGATCCCTCGGCTCATCTTACCTCTGTTTTTCCAGCTTTGTCTACTGCTCCTACATCCTTCACCCAAGCCAAATCTTTTCCTCAGAGGCAGAATGCCATGAAGGATGAAATTTCTGCCCTCCTCAAAAATAACACATGGACTTTAGTTCCCCCTCCTTCTCCGGCAATGTTGTCGGCAATCGATGGCTCTATAAGATTAAGACCCATGCTGATGTATCCATTGAGCGCTATAAGGCTCGGTTGGTGGCTCGAGGTTTTACTCAGTCTTTCAGGGTTGATTACACTAACACATTTAGTCCGGTTGTTAAGCCGATCACTATTCGCTCGGTTTTGACAGTTGCCTTGGCTCGTGGATGGTCGATTTCTCAGCTTAATGTGAGTAATGTCTTTCTTAATGGTGTTCTGAGTGAGACTGTGTATATGGTTCAGCCACAGGGTTTTGTTGATCCGGTGCGCCCTCATTATGTGTGTAAACTGCATAAGTCCTTATATGGTCTTAAACAAGCTCCTCGGGCCTGGTATTCTCGGCTGGCTGCGTTTCTGATCACCTTGGGTTTTGTGGAGTCTCGTTGTGATCCTTCCCTCTTTGTCTATCGCTGTGGGTCTCAGTTGTGTTTTTTACTGGTCTATGTGGATGACATTATTCTTACAAGCAGCACTTCTGGTTTGGTCCAATATTTTATCTCTTGTCTTGCTAAGGAGTTTTCTCTTCGGGATTTAGGTCTTTGAGTTACTTTCTTGGGGTCGAGGTTCGTCGTACTTCCAAGGGTTTGCTCCTCTCTCAGCACAAGTATGTCACTGATTTGCTACGACTTGCAAATATGCATACTTGCAAACCTATTTCCACTCTTTTGCAGGCTAATGTTGTGTTGTCCCGTTTGGATGGTACTGTGTTGTCTCCTCATGATGCGAAAACTTATAGTCGGCTGTGTGGCAGTCTGCAGTATACCACTCTCACTCGTCCAGATATCTCCTTTGCGGTTAATAAGCTTTGTCAGTTCATGCATCAGCCTTGCACTTCTCATTTTCAGGCTCTCAAACGGGTTCTTCGCTATCTTCGTGGTACCGTTGATTTCTGTTTAGTTCTGCATCCTACAGATTTGGGCACTCTTACTGCCTTTAGTGATGCTGACTGGGCTGGTTGTCCGGATAATCGTCATTCTACTACTGGTTTTCTCATTTATTTGGGACCTAATCTCATTGCCTGGGCATCTCGGAAGCAGCCCATTGTGGCTCGCTCGTCTATTGAGAATGAGTTTCGTGCAGTTGCTAATGTCTGTGTTGAACTGCATTGGGTGTGTCATCTGTTGTCCGAGTTAGGCGTTTCTTTACATCGCCCTCCCTCTATTTGGTGTGACAACAGTAGTGCAGTTTTCCTTGCTGTCAATCCTGTGTTTCATGCTCGTACCAGACATGTTGAGGTTGATTTTCACTTTGTTCGAGATCATGTTCGGCGAAAGTTTGTTTCGGTCAACTCTATCTCTGCTGCTGATCAACTTGCTGATATTCTGACCAAAGCCTTGTCCAAGGAGTTATTCTTTCGATTTCGGGACAAACTTCGGCTTCTCTTTTCTCCGTCGTCAGTTTGCGGGGGCGTATTGTAATATTTAATATATTTCCTATAATATCCTTGTTTAGGGTTTGTTATTGTCTATATATAGTCTGTATATTGTACATAACGATACAATGAATGAAATACAATTTCCCTATTCTAACTTACAGTTCACTCTAACTTCTGAAAATGATTTATGAAATAGTCTTTGAGAAGTAATGCACATTGATAACTCCAGACTCCAGTCATCTTCAACGAATATCACAGTCAATGTGCGCCACTCCTGTCTTCTTTTTCTTTGTCCAAACGCGTTATTCATACTCCACGCTCTGTTTCAAACTGAAGAATCAGTACCCTTAACCTGCCCTGCAATTCAGTTACCATAATGATGAAGACAATGAATTCCATGAATCTAGCATTCTTTTGCTGTAGCTTGCTTCTAGTTCTAGGTATACTAATCAACCTGGATGTCAGTAACGCTAGCAACCTGGAATACGACTGCTCGGACAATGCGATATAGGATATGAACAGTGCTAATGCCAAAACGTACAAAACCCAACCTGGATAGATTCCCTCCTTTCTGGATTAGTTTCTAATGCTACTCGATCAAACGGATTTTATAATCTCACCGCCGGGGATGAACCGGCCACCGCAGTCTACGGCTTGTTTCTCTGCCTTGGGGATAATACAACCAGCAATTGTCAAGCTTGCTTAACAACCGACCGGATGGAAATTTTGCAACTCTGCCCTGATAGAAACAGAGCAAGTATCTGGTACGATGATGGTATGCTGCGTTATTCGAATCAATCCATCTTCTCTTCTCCAACATGGATGACACCTTTCAATTTCCTTTGGCGAATATTTACAACGCTACGGATCCGGGTTTGCTGAACAGGGTCTTCGGCGAGTTGTTTGCGATCAGGGGCAGACCCGAATTCCGGCGAGAAGAAATTCGCGGTTGCAGAGGCTAATTACACGACGTTTACGCAATGCACTCCTGATATTTCAAGTGCTGATTGTGAACGTTGTTTGAGAAGTGCCATTTCGGTATTGCCAAGATGCTGTGTTGATCGTCAGGGAGGCAGAGTTTTATCTCCCAGCTGTACCATCAGATTCGAGCTCTATCCATTTTATGTCCGTCCTTGCTGAACCGTCTTCCACCGCCACCATCTCCGGCTGGTCCTGCAACTAAAAGCAGTGAAGGTAAGCCCGAAAGACCAAATCTTATTTGAATCAATGACAAATCTCATTTGATATTTTTTTGTTGAGTTTACAGATAATGGAGGAGTATCAACCTGAATGTTTTAGTTAGCCAAATTAGGTTTCTGGATTCCTTGCCCAAATCCACCACCTGATTTGGAACCCCCTGGTCTATCAGGATAAATTAAAGTGTTTCACCAAAGGTGACTTTTGTACGAAAGCCTTTGGGCTCCTTTCTACTAACTATCACAATTTAGTCCTTACAACAGTTGTTCTCACCAGAGGAGGTTCATTTGATTATGTCTATTCCACTCAGTGTAACGGGGAGCAAGGGATAGATTGGGGTGGAAGGCTGAAAAAGACGGGGTCTATTCTGTGAATTCAGCATATAGTATTGCAAAAAATATGTTGGATAATGGGTATGATAGAGGTGAAAGTAGTAGTGCAGCTGTGAGGGACAAATTAATTTGGAAGGGTATTTGGAAACTAAGTAAAGGGTAATGTGCAACATTTTCTTTGGAGCTGTTGTAACAACACTTTAGCACTAGGAAGTAACCTACTAAGAAGAGGCATTCCTGTTGATCCAAGGTGTAAGTTGTGTGGGGAGGAGTTGGAATCTGAGGAACATCTTTTCCTCCTTTGTCCAGTAGTGAAGCATACATGGGAACTAGCTCCAGTAAAGTGGGATGGCTTGGAGGTTCATACATATTCTTTTAAGGAATGGTGTTTTCATATGATGAAAGTGGGTAATAATTGTGAAGGCCAGAGAAGAGTCCATTTTTCTGTATTTTTGTTATGGAATATATGAAAATGGAGAAAGAATTGGGTGTTCAATACTCAGTGTCTTTCACAATGGGAGGTAGTCAATAAGGCAATGAAGGAATAGTTGGAATATGAAGCTCACTGCAAGGTTCTTTTTCCAAGTCGGATTCATCATACTAGAGTACAACAACAATCGCATTGGAGTAAACCAGCAGAGTGGGTGATCAAATTAAATGTAAGTGCTTTATTTCAATAGTATGCGGGTATAATTGGAGTAGGTATTGTCGCTAGAGATTGTAGAGGCAGTCTTCTGCAAGTTTGGGTAGTCACTAGGAATCGTCTTCAAAATCCAGTGGTGGCAACCTTAGATGCAGTTCGAGTGGCTCTAATTTTTGCACAAATGAATTTGTGAAAGAATGTACAGGTGGAGTTAAATGTTAAAACTTTGGTGGACTGTCTGAATGATAAAAGGGGTCTGGTACCTGAAACTTTAATTATAGTTGAAGATATCTACGTTTTAGAATCTTTTTTTCTCGTTTGTAATTATTTTTTTGGTCATAGATGTTATAGTAGAACTTTTTTTAGATTAGGAGAATTCATTTTAGAGGGAAATATCCCTTGGAGCTGGAAGGAAAACTTCCCCCTTTGGCTACTAGAGGTAGCATGTACAGACACTCATTTGATCCTATTTTGGCATGATGTTAATATAACTCTGCTGATTACTGGTAAAAAATAAATCCTTAAACTTATAAAACTATAAAAAAGAAGATCCTTAAGCATGGCAGATGGCTATTTTGGTTAAGCTATAGATAGAGACCAATTGTAGATGCTCCAATAGGTGTGGGTCAAAAAAGGGCCAAAACCCTGGGGACCCGTTTCCTAAACCCTGCATTCTCGAAGTTTCCATACTCACCGGCGCTCTTCAAACAAACTCCAACCGCCATTGCCTTCCGTTCCGATACGCATCCCCCCTGATCGTTGTTCTCCTTCCATGAAGCATGGCTGATGAAAAAGAGGAAGTTACTCTTGAAGAATTTTGCCGGAATTGTACCAAGACCTGGCATGAAATTGTTCCAGAAGTAGAGGACCAAGGTGATGTAGACTGTTGTGTAGCGATTGCTATAACTGGTGTTTTAGGTACGCTCATGGAAATTAAGAGAGCAAAATCTGGTCCTCCCAAAAAAGCCACTCGATTCCAGTACATGGACTTCTTCGGACAGGTCGGGGAGATAGAGGTGAGTACTGTACATGGGTTAATGGCGGGTGCTGCTTGGGGGGTTAAGCCGTCCGTACCATCTGAAATTGACGTTTTCGACTATGATGATAACTTTAATCCGGAAGAAAACGAAATACCAACTCCAGAGCACCTCACACACCTTTCTCCGTCGGAGTTTCCTCTGCCGGATGTTGCTCCGGTGTTTATTGAGGACTACTATGAAGCTACAGATGTGGAAAGCATGATAAGAGGATTGAACGAGGGACCCGGATTAATGAGCATTGAAATCTCTTACAAATTCAATCAATGGGGGGACAGTTACCAGATCTATGATGAGGACCATCATACGGATCTGTGCGGCGCTTCTCATTTGATGATGGTCACTGGAATTTGTCCATCAGAAGAGTATATTGTGTGCCAAAATTCTCGGGGTAAACAATTTGGTGTTGAGGGCTATATAAAAATCCATTTAAGGCTGGTTAGAAGTATACATTTCATCAGGGAAATCGGGACCCGTCCTAGTTCCAACTTATATTTGTTTACCCGTAGTTTCCTCAACGAGTCACAGAAAGACTGGGGAACCTACGACCCAAAAACAAAGTCTATAACCTTTGGGGAGGATGAAAAATCATGGATCGATTGGGGTAGAGAAACCATTGGAGCCTGCATGTTAGAGTTCCTAGGCTCCATCCCTGTTGTCCAGCCTGATGAAATGGATTTAGAATTGGCGGCGATTGATTTAGCTGAGGATTCATATATCCCGGTTTACATGCTTCTGCCCTTGGGGATAATTGATAAATACTGTTATCTTGTTGATCCAGCGGTTCTTCTAGAGCAATTGAGAACATTGAAGGCTATGAACGTTGACGGTGTGGTCGTTGATTGCTGGTGGGGGATAGTGGAAGCTCATGAAAAGCTGTATAATTGGACGGGTTACAGGCACCTCTTTGAAATGGTCAAGAGAGTTGGACTCAAGTTGCAGGTAGGCCTACTCACCACCCTACTTTCACTTTTAGCTTATATCTTGCTGCTTTCCTTTGCTGTTATTGTTGTATTCAAGTGGTTTAATATGGAGAAAGTCACTAGTTAAGATGATTAAAATTTTAATGATTAATTTATTATTTATGGAAGTATTTGCATTCTGTGTTTAGGTAGTTATGTGTTTCCATAAATGTAACGATGACATTGACCTGCCTCAATGGGTTCTTGAAATCGGTGACGCAAATGACAACATATTCTTCGCTGATCGGTCGCTCAGGCGGTATCGAGAATGTTTAACATGGGGTGTCGACAAGGTAGAAGTATTAGGAACCCGTACTGCTTCTGAGGTATTCTGTTTATTCTCCACTCATGCATACTTTATAGTATCTCGGTTTAGTTGTGCAGGTATTCATGCATCAACCTAATGTCTACTTATCCTTTATGGACTGTTACAAATTCAAGCTAAAACCCTGTTCTTCTTCATATGGATAGTAATGTCAGTCACAGTTATCCATTGGAGACTACACTTTTCATACAATATACCGAATATCATGTTTTCTATTACAGGACATGTGGCGGTTGTAATCAGTTTATTTATTTGTTGATCTGTTTGTTCCATTATTTGTTCCTAAGTACCTTTTATTGAATAGAGATTTTGTTGATTCTGTTGGCTAATTTCTGGTGTAGGTCTACATCGACTTCATGAAAAAGTTCAGAGCTGAATTTAATGACTTCTTTGAGGATAATGTGATCTCCTTAATTGTAGTTGGACTAGGTCCATCAGGGGAGTTAAGATACCCATCCTTTTCAGTAAGCCAAGGTTGGAAGTACCCAGGCATTGGTGAATTCCAGGTAGTTTATATACTCAACACAGTATCTTTTTTTGAACTGGAATAAACAATGGAATATTTGTAGTGAACTGTTCTACTAGGTGGTTTTTTGGTATGTCGAATGTAGTCTAGCGAAGAGAATTTGCAGAATTCTTAGTGCTTTTTCACGGTTCTCTTGTTTTAAAGGATAGGGAGAACTTAAATGACAGTGAAAGTTGTGGTTACCCTCTTTTGGTATTTCAAGTGTCGTAATACTACCGCTTCCTTTCCAGATTCTATGTATCCATAATGTAGTAGTTTTTGTTTATTTATCGTATGAAGTCCTTCAGTATTTTAAGGGGGAATGTGCCAAATAAATAACTGCCCCCGTTTTCATGGTGAAATCACAAATAAGTGGAAAGAACTGCCAGGGAAATCAGTTAAAACACTGCCAACAGATATTTTGTTCTGTAACTTGGCCCAACTGGGGTGCTTTAATTTTTAGTTGCAAATTGATGTTGGTAAACCTTCTTGTTTGGCAAATAATAGTGAGCCACTGTTGTGTCTCTCTTGGGCCAGGGGATTGGCAGTTGGTGTATTCCTTGTATCTTCAAATTTTCTGGAAAGTTGATCCATTGTACACTCTTTAATTGAACCATCTGTTCTGTCCTTTTTTATCTACAGTGTTATGATCATTACTTGGCGCATAGCTTGCGAATGGCAGCTTATACAAAGGGATACACAGAGTTGAGCGAGGGGCCCCTTGAAGTTGGTGCGTACAATTCTCAGCCGCTGGATTTGGGATTTTTTCGTGATGGAGGACAATATGATGAGTATCATGGGAGGTTCTTCCTCGAGTGGTACTCGAAGGTACTAATTGATCACCGGGACCTTATACTCTCGCAGGCCAAACAAGTGTTTGATAACACTCCCATTGCAATCAAGGTTAGTCAATAGTCATACTCATGTAAATAAAATGGAATTTGTTAATCAAAGCATGTGGAAGGATGATGTTGATAATGGTTAGACATCAAGACTTGTTTGTTTCCAATTGAAGTGAGGAAATTGTGTGTTATAGCTAAACCCTTATACTCTTTTGCTGCGTGCTGTTCTTAGTTTGCTAAGGATTATATCGAGAAATTATAGATGATTTATGTATGTCTTAGTCTAAGCATGTCACCCGATTTCTTTTGTTTTTAAATGATGTTAATCGATAGGAAGGAATTTGACACATAAATTTGGTTAAAATTTTGATTGGAAATGCATCGGTAAACATTACACTGCATATAAGAAGAACTAATTCTGTCAAAGTATAGCCAGACCATCTGTGAATGTATTTTTGATTTGATTGCCTTAAGTTTATAATTCTGTCCTAAAATGGTGTAATTCTGAAGCGTTTTTAAAATGAAACTTCAAAAAATTGAGAGTTTAGAGTACTGGGGAAACCAATAGATGATTTTGGTTGTTTCTATGTGGTATCACACTCAAAATGAGTTAAATTGTGTACAGATTGGGTGTTGAATGGAAGTTGAATGTGATATATGGCTTTAAGTTTATGATTGGATTCATTTGTGACTACTTTTATTTCACTTAGAATAAGGATTTAGAATTTTTTCACAGAATAATGTTGTATTAAAAGTAAGTACAACTCTTTTAGCATCTGCAAGGACATTCAATATTTGAACATTTGTACTAATATGAATAAGAAATCTTTTAAACAAGAAGTGCATTTCTCTGCTATTGCATTATTGGATGAACTGGGCATAAGGAATTGCGTGTATTTGTAGTTTTTTGAAGGTTGTAAATGTACGATTGTAATTTCAGCAAATGACACTACATTTCTATGTTTAAATAAACTTTGCTTAGGTAGAAAATCGGCATTAAAGGGCAAAGAAAACTTAGTTTCAGAGACACTGGGAAAATTTTCTGATTTTCCATCAGAATTCTCATCATAGCTTGTAGATTAAAATTATGAGAGTTAAATCCTTAAATAAACTGACATATAATGCCTTAATCTATACAGAGTGGTGTTGCTTCTTTTGTTTCTAGTTTTATTAATCTATACAGAGTGATGAAATATTCAGACGAAATAGGGAAAGAAAATAAATAATTAGAATTTGCTGTTTTGCCTGCACCTAGTGAGATCATACTTCTACATTCTTCGTCTGATGCATATGGAAGCTTGACTAGGATAATTTTGAAACTAGATAGTGTGATTTGTGAGTTGAAACTAGATATGGAAGCTTTTTTCTTTTAGCTCACTAATGCTTTCAAGGTTTTATTTTCATGAACTATTTTCTTTTTCAGTTGACATTGATCCTTTTTTTTGTGGGCAGTTGTCAAGTATCCCGTGGTGGTACAAGACCCAAAGCCACGCTCCCGAGCTAACAGCAGGATTCTACAACTCGCACAACCGGGATGGCTACGTTGAAGTCATAAAGATGTTGAAGAAGAATGATGCTGCGTTAATTTTGTCATGTACAGGAATGAGTAAATTGGATCAGAACGTTGAGTTCAATGATGCCCTTGCTGATCCTGAGGGATTGCCCTGGCAAGTAAGGATCATTACGATAGTTCCTGATTTTATTTTCGCATCTTTATTTTTTTAATCTCCACAGAGGATAGATTTTTATGAAACAACTAGTTATCAAGTTTAGGGGGATTTCATTATTGTTCCAGGGGATTTATATTCTGATTTATTGAATTCTAGGTTATGAATGATGCTTGGGATGCCGATGTACCATTTATATATGAAATTGAACTTGCACACCATGGTAGTAACGCCTACAACTACTTATTTGAGAAAGCGAGACCCAGCTCAGATCTTGAGAGGAGACATTTTTTCTCCTTTACATGTGGTAGATTTGGTCCTGATATGCTGCAGCATCCCTTGGAGTTTGAAAGTTTTATCCAAAAAATGCATTGTAAGAGACTGAACCCTTTCGTTCTACAGTTTCCAGATGGCTTAATTTTTCTTTATCTCTGTCTTTGTGGTACAGTTCTTGTTCAATTTTGAGTTTTTTTTTCCTGTTAATACAGCTCTATTATCATTGTTTGAAAGGTGGATTTTCATTTAAATCATATCACATCTTTTTCGGTTCAAAGGAAAGTGGTAATTCTAATTAAGAAGCCAACTCAGATGCAACTGATGTTCTTTTCAATTCGCCCGAGATCAAACTTTTTTGCTTAGTGAAGAGTTTCTCATTAGCTCTTTGACAGATAGCTTTACAAAAGTCTTAATCCATGAAAGGTTTCAATTTGCCTGAGATCAAACTTGCTTAATTGCGATTTGTTTTCAAGAGAAGTACTTTTTTGCTCTATTGGCACTATGTCCTCATTCTACTTTGATTTGTTAAATACTGGAACCCTGAGAATATAGATAGGGTGTATACAAGGCTTGCTGTGTAGTTGAAAGTTGTATGACAGGAAATTGCTGGTGTTACGGGTTAACTTGAATCGTAGTTTATGTGAATATTACAATGGTGTCTGGTTTTTAGTTGAATTGGTCTTTACTAATTTGTTACTTCTGCTTGTGATGTAGTAAACTGCTCATGCTTGATGTATGTCAAGTTTTTATTTGATTGATTTTGTGGCTTCTAAGAGTGCGATAAGACTTCTGAAGTCTTGTACCGCACTCAAATACTTAGGATGAACTCAAGGAGGTTTTTTTCATACAGATCTTTTTTAAGATTTAGCCCCAAAGAAATCTCATGTTAGATTGTTTCTGGGCTTAGGAGGTGGGTAGTGTTGGCAGTTTGAATGTCATGAAATTGTACATAACGACTTGTGATTTCTTGGAAGTAAGAAACCTTTGGATTGCCAGTGAGTGCTTTACATTCATGCTCTCAGCGTTATTTCTAGACTTTAATGTTATTGTCTAAATTTTAAAGGGTCTGCATTTCTCCCTGTTTTCTTTACGATGACTTCTTCTGGAAACGTTCTTTCTTTGAATTATTAAAAGAAGTTCTTTATGATTTTGAAGGTTCTCAAAACTCCAGACTTCCAGAAATGCAAGGCAGCTGAAGAAATTCGTGAAAGTAAGCTTTAGAGTTTGAATTTGGTCTTGCTTTGTAGTTCATTTAGTACTTCATTGTTTTTAAATTTGATTGCAAATGAAACAATAATTTTCTCATCTCTTCCTTTGAAAGTTGTGCTGTTCTCGAAGGATTATTACCATGTTGATTGTTTACCTTTTTAACTATCCTAGAGTGTCTGCGAGCTAGTTTACACAAGCTTCTGTCGATTCAATCGGATCATCTTCTTGGGGAATTTCTTGTACTTGGTTGTTTGGCATGTTATATAACAGATGTTCTTTCGATTTCCTTCATTTTATTTTAACACTTCTTACCTTCCCACGCCAGTCACTTGCTCTTTAGAGAGATGTTTGATTTCTGTTACCCATCACTTTGAGAGGTCCATTTGTGCATAAGGACTGAGATTTCATATGACTTAGGTTCTTAAGATTCCATTAACCTGATGTTTTTATATTATTGACCAGAGATGGTCTCTGTGTTTCTAAAATTTGACCTGACTATCATTGCTCACTCATTTCTAAAATTTGCACAATTTTATCCTTGAAGATACTTTCTTTAGTAGATATCCATTTTCTGATGTATCAGCGCCTTTTAGTAGATACGCTTTCTTTAGTAAATTTCAATTTTTATTTTTGGTAGATTTCCATTTTCCTATACTCTATTTCAATGCAAGGATTTCCTGAGGAAATGTGAATTGAACCAAGTGGTTTTTTTTTCTTTTTCTTTTTTGCCGTTGCCTTTGGTTTGTGCACTGTACGAAGGACAAAGTTTAATGTCGAATTTTGAGTGGCTATATGGCTCGAATAGGCATGTGGCCTTTTGCATGCAAACAACTTGCACGTATTAATATCTTTGAGAACGGTGTCAAACCAGAACCATGAGTAATAAGAGAATGATTTGGTATACGATTGTTTTTGCTGCTGGGCTAGCCTAACCCAATTTGGTGTCATGGTTACAGAGATGAGGATAGTAATGAATCTACACAAAGTGATAGGAGAAACTTCATCAGTGGAGATGCAAGATGGACAGAAGAATCAGGCACATATGAAACCTCCAGAGAAGCCTCAATTATTCTTTGCTGGGAACATCTCACAGAAGCAGTATCGTGACTGAAAACTGACCTATCGTGTTCAAGAACAAGTCTTAATTTTCTTCAAATCCTACTCTGAAGTATCGTATGCATATCAGTTAGGATGGGAAAAGAAATTCTGAAAAAAAAAAAAAGTGTATCAATTAGGCTATGACAGTGTGTTGAGCGTTTCCTATTCATCATAGTTTATAACCTGGAATCTTCCGTTATGGTTGCACGGCTCACATCAAATTAGAAATTTCGCGCTAAATTTGGGGTTATATGCACGTCTGGTTTTGAATGAGTTAATGATTTAGTTCATTACAGTATGTCTGTTCGAAAGGTAAATAACCAACATTTGATAGTTGATCCTTGATGCAATGCCACTTGACTCACGGTTCACATGTATCACAAGGAAGACCTTCGAGGTCCGCTTGATGATGATGATTTAGTTATCGTTCTTGGTAAAAAGGACCGCCCTCGCTGCCTCATTGAGTTCATCTCTCAACCTCTAAAGCTGCTAAATATGGATGAGACAAAACGGAATATGTTGGTAATTAGTATTGGTTGCAAAGTTATCCTTATACATCTAATAAGTACTCCCTCCGTCCCATAATTATTGTCCAGTTTGGATATTCCTTTTTAATTCAAATTGCACTAAAAGTGAAATCTCAAACTGGACAATAATTTTGGGACGGAGGGAGTAATAAAGATACTAAGGCATCTGTTACATGCAATATGAATCCCCGAAGATTATCCTTGGTAAAGGATCGAATTAGCCTGTTGACAGAAAGCTTCACAGTACGAAAACTGAGATATAGATGTAAATATAAGACTAAGTTGGAAGTTCAGACACTAGTTTGCAGTTTGTAGAATCAGATGTAAAGCCTCAAAAGTCCAGTACTTTCTACTTCCTCCCAGATTTGTGGAAGGAATGTTCTTGCTGGCACTCATGTTTAGTTTAACAGCCCAAAATGCACATCTCTTTATCTTCAAAGCGTCTGACTTTAGATTTAGCTTTTATCAAACTAGGTATTGAAATTCATTTACTACTCCCTCTGATCCTTAAATATAAGGTATTATGATTTTATTTTAGGTTTTACCTAAGAGGCATTTTTAATTGATAAAAAAACCTTAAAAATATATTTTTACATTCATTGCACTTTCTTGATTGCTATGAAATATTTTTAAGGTTTTTGGGTCAATTAAAAATACATACTAAATTAAACTTAGGATAAAATCAAAACGCTTTATATTAAGGACCAGAGGAAGTATCATTTATTGCTACATAATGGTGCAAAGGAGTGTTTCCTATCATTCCTTTGCATCATGTAAAGGAAAAGATGAAGTTTATAACTGGGGATCTTACTGTTGCGCAGCTCTCCTGGAGTTAGATTTTTGGAGCAAAATTTGTTGTTCCTAAGATAAATCAAATCAAAAGTTGGCGGGAAAATTGAATAAAGATCCAAATTTGTTGTTCCTAAGATAATTCAAATCAAAACTTGGCGGGAAAATTGAATAAAGAGGATCCCAAAAAATCAAAACAGGTAAGATGTGTCTGAGCCCGGGTTCGAACCGGGGACCTCTAGTGTGTGAGACTAGCGTGATAACCAACTACACCACCCAGACCCGCAGTAGTTTGTGACTTGCCGTCACAAATTAATTATAAAACCTTCAAAATATTTGCAGAACCATTGGATTATTCCCTTTAAAATGCGGCATCTATATTTTGTGTGCATTCTTAACACACGAGCTTCGTTATTTCTTATTCTTAAACGCAAAACAATAGCTAGCTTTGGACAACTCCACTTGTGCTAGTAGAAAATAGAAATATTTAAGTTTATTCATTTGTCGTCGGAAAAGTGAAACAAATTGGCAGTAGTTCGATAACGTTATTTTTTTCCCGATAAAAAATTAATGAAAAGGCGTTCATAACCAAACATTAATGTAGTATAGCCTTGAAGGCTTAAACAAGTACAGTAAAACCTCTCTAAATTAATTTTCTATAAATTTATAACCTCTATTAAATAATAATTTTTGCCGGTCCCAACTCGGGACCAATACAAAAAATGAATAAACTCGATTAATTTATAAGATAATAAATTTTTAAGATTCGCCTATGTAAATCTAGGTCTCCATATTTTCATAAATTAATAATTACCTAAACAAAAACTAATAAAATTTCTAATAAAGAATGAATGTATTGATCTTTGTTTTTTTTCAAAATTCATATCTACGGAGATATCATCTTTGATCTACCTCATTGCATTCAAAAGTTCCTGTGTCGCTTTGTCATACTGCAACAAAAAAATTATGACGAGTTGCTATAGCATTTACTGTTTCTTTTCTGGAGATTTAAAATTTGCAGCCACACAAAGAGAACCCTAGTACTGCATTAAGAAAGTTTTTTTTTTTTTTGGAAAACTATAAAAACTTTATATATAACTTGAAAATGCATATTTACAACCAAAATAACCTGTTCTACTCAACTATACAAGGTAATTTTGTGTTGGAAAAAACTGTTGAAATAGTTCATTTTCTGCCTGAGTAAACTTCAAACTAAACTTTCCTTTTAACCTCAAATAAAGCTCCTTCTGTATTGCCTCCACAATCAGGTCTGCACTTCCGTCTTCTCCTGTAAACACCCTCTGATTCCTTTCTTGGCATATATAGTATAAAACAGCAACAAAAGCAGCACACCATAACTTGTATTTAAACTTAGTTCTTTTCCAAATCTTCCAGACAACTTTTTTCCAGAGATTCCAATCCAGAGAGACTCTTCTAATACCTAGCCAAGACAAGATTCTGCTCAAAACATCAATAGTTGCAGGACATTCAAAGAATAAATGCTGATGATTTTCAGGATGTGACTGGCACAACGCATAAAGAGGATCTACCTCTAAAATGAACATTGAAGCCAGTCTATCCTTAGTCAATAGCTTCCCTTGCCAAACAATCCACGCAATAAAAGCATGCTTAGGGAGGTTAAAACATGATCAAATAACACCTGTCTCTCGGGCTTTCAGTTTCACCCCTGAGCCATTTATAACCAGTAGCTATACTGTACTTTCCACAGGCTGATCCTAACCACTTCTGCTCATTAAAACCAGCATTGCCAATGTCTCTAACCTTAATAATTAGTTTCCAATGCCAACTGGCATCTAACTTACTGTTAACTTCCCAAATAGATTGCTATTTTAAATAAATTTCATGCACCCACTTGACCCAAAGCGAATCTTCTTTCCTAACAATATTCCATACTTGTTTTTAATATTGTTGCTTGGTTCCATATTTTGATATCTTTTACCCCCAAACCCCCTTCTCTTTTTGTTTTACAAACAGTTTCCCATGCAACCAAAGCTAATGATCTCCCAGATTGTTTTACCCCTCAAAGAAAGCTTCTACAAACTCTATTAACCTGGTTTATAACACTCTGGGACAGAATGAAAGTACTAGCTCAATAAATGTTCATGGTCATGAGAACTGAATTTATAAGTTGCACTCTACCTGCGTAAGAAAGGTTTCGAGTGCTCCAGCATTTGATTCGGGCCGTCATTTTCTGGATCAAACTATCATACTCAACTTGAGACCACTTTTGGGGAGGTAAAGGAACACCCAGGTAGTGCATTGGAAACTCCCTCTTGGAATCCTGTGATGTCACATAGCCTTGACCTTTTAGCAGAATTGACCCCACCAAAATATATGCTGGATTTCTACAAGTTTGGATGCAATCCAATGGTATTTGAGAAATCTTCTAAACCTGCTTTTACGCCTTGCACAGTTGGTTCATCTGCTTTACAAAACAACATAAGGTCATCGGCAAAACATACATTGGTTAGTTTCAAATTTTTACACAAAGGGTGAAATTTGAAACTGGAAGAAGATGCAACCAATTTAAGTTTCCTGGTTAAATATTCCATTACTAAAACAAATAGTAATGGGGAGACAGGATCTCCTTGTCATAAATCCCTCTTGCCTTCAAAATAACCCACATTCGTTCCCATTCAAAGCAACTGTATAAGATGCTGTGGAAATGCATTCCATAATCCACATAGTAAACTTCTGTGGAAATCCATAACCCACCAACATCTCCTCAATAAAATTCTATTCCACTATATCATTTGCTTTTCGGATGTCAATTTTCATCAGGCACCTTTCTGTGATCTTCTTTCTTCTATAGAGTCTTATCAGCTATTGAACAATAAGCACATTATGAAGGATCCGCCTGTGACTTACAAAAGCTCCTTGGTTCTCATTAACTAGTTCAGCCACTATGTCCCTCATCCTTTCACAAAGAACCTTAGAAATGCACTTGTACACCACATTGCAATACGCAATGGGCCTGTACTCTCCTGCATTCTGAGGAGTATCTGTTTTTGGGTTCAGGGCCAAACAGGTGGAATTCATTTGCTTCAATAGCTTCTCAGTACTAAAAACTTCCTGTACTGCTGTAATTACCTCTTCTCCAACAAGACTCCATGATGCTTTAAAAAATCCACTACCATAACTATCAGGATCTAGGCTTTTATTGCTATTGACCCCCAGAGAGCTCGTTTGATTTTCTCAGCTGAGACTGGTTTGATCATATCAAGTTGCTGTTGAATGGTCAGTCTTGGTCCCTGCAAGAAAACCTGCATATCAGCTGGTGATCTGCTAGCTTTCTATCCTAACTGTACTTTAAAGAAGTTCAAAAAGTGATTCTCAACTGCTTTCCATTCAGTTTGCAAGGTGCCATCATACTCTGTATATGACTATATTCTGTTTTTCATCGTTCTTTGCTTCAATTTGGCATGGAAAAAAGATGTATTTTCATCCCCTGAACTGAGCCAATCCTCCTTAGTCTTTTGAAGTAGAAAATTGTCAAGTGCTTTAGATAATAGAAAATAATCCTGGTTCTTTTCTTTTTCTACAATCTGGGCTTGCAAATCATCAGGATGATCATGTAGCAGGTTTTGAGCCTCCATGAGCTTCTCATACGCCTCTTGCACTCTATTCTATTCCTGAATACCTTTTTTTGTTGAAGCTTTTCAAAACTCCTTTCAACCTTTTGAGTTTCTTAGCCAGCTTGTACATTTTTGTCCCATATATCTTCTGATCCTAGCTCACCTTAACTAGTGGAAGGAATTTAGGGTCCATACTCCACAGGTTAAAGAATTTTAAAGGCTTTGGATGATGCTGCATCTTTACATCTGTTCGTATAATCAGAGGAGTGTGATTTGATACACCCTCTGACAATACAGTCATAATGGACTGATCAAACCTCATCATCCATTCTGCGTTGACTAAAGCCCAGTCTAAACGTGACACAATTCTTCCATTTCCAATTTGCTTATTGGACCAAGTAAAGAAGTGACCTTGTTTTGTCATATCTTGAATTTCACATTCCTCTATACAACACTTGAAACCTTGGATTTCTGATCAAGCAACCGGATTACCACCTAGTCTTTCATCCACTGCAAGAACATTGTTGAAATCCCCAGTGACTATCCATGCTGCATTTATCCTTTCTGATATCTCAATTAAATCCTCCTATAATTGAGCTCTGTCATTGGCATCATTACTTGCATAAACAGCCGCCAAACAAAACTCTTGGTTACTCTTCGTCTTGACAAAACAATGTCTCAACTGATCAGTACAACTCAACACAGTCAGTGTAATCAAACCAAATTCCAAATCAAACAAATCCTCCCTCTAGGATGCTTGCTAAAATTAACAAAATGGCAATGATGTGGCCATGCCTTCTTCAAGTACTCATCCCCTTTATTTTGTGATAATTTTGTTTCTACTACCATAGCTACTACAATATCATAAAATTCTACTAACCTTTTTAACTCCTTTTGCTTTAAGAGCTATTTAAACCTCTGATATTCCAAGTGAGAAGACTTGTCATGGATTTGCAAGATTGGAGGCAGCTGGAATATCCTTCTGAATCTCATCTTCCTTCTCCTCCTCTCTGTTGCTTGATTCAGCATCATCAGTAAAGGTCAAAACATGAAACCGAGAGTGTTGTACCCTATTGTTGTGCTTGTTGATTAATGCTAGTTCTCCCTCTACATCTTACTTCCCATCCTTCACTTCCTGTATTTCAACATCATTACTCTCTATGACTACAATCTTGCCTTTTTATATTCTTTTCCACTCTTTTCCCATGACAGCATTAGAACTGGGTTCTACCTTGGAGTCTTGTGCTTTTAGTTCAGCTAACTACTTCCTACAATCTCTTTTCTATGGCCATACCCTTTACAATGGGAGCACATTGTTGGACCCCATTCATAATATACTACATGTGACTGATTTACACCCTGCTCATCTTCAAAAAAACGATTCTAGAGGGGGATAATCTTGAATTTTAACATCTATCAGCACTCGAGGAAATTGGACTTTGTATTTTTTTTTTCTGTTGTTTCCTTATCAGCCATAATAGGCTGACCCATATTGCTTGCTAATCTACCAAGTGATTCAATATTTCAATACTTCAAGTCTAATCTATGAAATTGCACCCAATTGGCACATGAGTGATTTCCCTATAGTTTATACCTTTTTCTAGACTCCATGGTTTCACTATTACAAGATTCACCCCCATATGATAGATATTAATATTTAGAGCTTCTTCTCTAGCAGCCATGGACTTAAATCTAACCAAAAATAAATGAGATGGAAGCAATAGCACTTTATCAACATTGTTCCTCCATAAACTATGATAATAAAGCTCCATTACCTGAACTGGTGGATTAGTTCCTAGAACGAGGCTAATTACAGATTGCTCCCAGTATTGTTCCTTCGCATGCACAACAGTATATTGCATCTGGCAAATCTTCTTCCCAGCATGCTCAATCGGTTTGAAGTAACTCAGTTTAACCCCAACTTTCTTCAATTTCTTCGGGTCAAAATTCGCCCATCCTAAATCCGGCTGATTTACATCCTGGTTCTTCTCCGCCGACCAGTCGATTCTTCTTGCTGTTGGGATGCCCAAGATATCACTAAGCTTCTTGTTGGACTCATTCACTGTAATCGGCTATTCAGATCTAATTCCCTTTGACCCCATTGAAATTTCCTTAGGGTTTGCTTCATGTGTTTCTTTCCCTGCTGATGGAGCTTTGCCAATATTAATCATGTTCCCAGATCTAAATCTCGCTTCTAAAGTGCTAATTCTTGTTGGTGTTTCTGAAATTATTGGATCTTTAGTCACCTTCTTCCCCTTTTGCTTCCCCTTGCCATTGTAAGCTTACGTCATACAGGGATGTCGTTCGCCTAGAGAGAGAAACTCTGAAAAGAGAGAATTTGTAATATAATCTGTTAACATTGAAATCTATATTTATAATCGACTTTTCTTTTCTTCTTGACAAATATTATACCCTATTAAGATTGAAAAACTCTTTAAATTAATAATTATTAATTTATCGATAAATTAATAATTCGATAAATTAATAATTATTGGAAAACTCAATACTATTAATTTAGAGAGGTTTTACTGAGTAAAATCAACACAAAAAAGGTTTCAAAGTTCAAACCAAAAAAAAAAAAAAAAAAGGGAAAACACACACAAACAGAGAGTTTAAAACCAAAGTCAAAACCCAATAAATTGTGAGACATCAGAATAGAGAAATTGAGAGAAGTTGCCAAAAATCGAAACTTTTGAAAATTTTCACACTTCCGCCATTATCTCTTCTCCAAAATTTTCCCCCTCCCGCGCCCAGAAAGTTCAGAAACCTCGCTTTGGAACCACAGATTTTCAAAAAAAAAAAAATGGCGACCCGGGAGCAAAGCCAAGAAGCCCTAGTTCAGGACGAAGTGGAATCGGAAGATGAGGAGGAGGAGGAAGGTGGAGATGGAGAAGAAGACGAAGTTGAGAAGCTGGAAGCCCAGGTAAACGAAATGGCCCAGAAATTACTCAACTACAGAGCCACCTTCCCAGATCAGCTCAAGTCCACTCTTTCTTCCGTTCTTGTTGCCCGCCGGCCACTCATTCCGACCCATTTCGATTCCGGGTCAGAATCCGAGCCCGGAACCTCTGACGACCCTAACCAAGGTGAATTCTCGCTCCCTCTTTTAACTTTCTGGAATTACTGTTATCTTTTCCTAGAATTGCTCTCTTTTCCAGATTCAGTGAATTTGAAGTTTAGTCTCTTTTTTTTTTTTTTTTTTTTTTTTCTGGGTTTCGCCTTGGTGCTAACTTGTCTATGCGTGGTAATCAGTTTTTCCCCCTTTTGCTTTCTATGCCTCTGATCGGTTAACTTATTATGAGATGTTTGTGCTTGGGTTGTTACCGTTTTGCATCTGGAGTTTAAAACATTATCTCTGTGTACCATTGACTTGAAATTAAATGTTACACTCATAAGGTAAGCAATGCCAGACAGTTGTTTGTAAAAATTCTTTAATCAACCCATTCGCCATGTGTTGTTGAATTCTGAAGAATAATCCTGACATGGGCGTGAAATTCTTAAGCAGACTTAGAAATTTCTAAAGGTTAATCAGCCTTAGAAAAAGACACAATGTTTCGGGTTCCAAAACCTATATACAGACATCAAATGATGTTATCACAATCAGGTGTAAGCATATGAACTAATTTGAGAATGGATTTATCTTGTCCATTGACTGTGCAGTATGTTTCTTGAAACTTCTTGATTTTTTTTGGATTGCAAAGTGAATATAAAAATTCACTCTTGCCCCAATTTTCGTTGCTCTCTCTGCTTGAAGAATGTATTTCATATGGCTGACATGAAGTTATCAATTGTTGTGAAAAATACCCATTTTGATAACGGTCTATGGCTCGGACGTCTAATGTAACTGGCTGCGCAAAGCAAATCTTTCTGAATCCGGGGTTTTTCCCTTAAACTTTTTATTTATTTTCCAAGTTGTTGATTTGGGACAGAATGGGAGGCTCAGAATAGTGTTAGACGGTTGCACAAAAGATAAAATGAGCTGAATGTTGGTTCTGCATTAGAGTATAGAGCTTTACTGATGCCAGATTGAGTCAACTGATCATGCAAACTGCCAACCAATATTTGGAAGGACTTTACCTACTGTTTCATAGTAGCAAACACATACAAGCATTGACATATATGATATATTGTCACTTTGCTTAAGCTCTTTTCTCATTACTAAAGAAAATGTCACCCTGCTTGGTGGCGAGTTCTTATGCTTGAATTTGATCCTAAAATGCTAATGATGTAATGCTAACTTGGTCACCCTTTTGTTTTTGTATCTTCTTATCCTCCCATATTTTTTTAAATTTGCTGTTTGTCATTCATTTGACTTTATTGTATAACTTTGTAATTATGTATCTCAATCTCAACTCTTTCTTTGTTTTGTAGATGTGGTGAGACCTATTGGGACTGGTAATGAAGCCTCAGCAGGAAACGAACAGGAAAATGAGAAGATTAAACTCCTCAAACAGAAGATTACAAGTAATACCACCACCATTCCAGTTGTCTTGAAGAGAATGAAAGACTGTATGAAAAGGATTGATGACCTTGACTCAGATAATGGGATCACAATCCATCCTGTGTTTAAAAGAAAAAGAAAAACGGATCTTCTTCTTCAGTAATATTTCTCCATGTTAGGGTAAAAGTTTTGTTTAAGACCATTTAAGAGGTGTTGTATCTTATTCTATGACAAGTTCAAGCGTTGTAGATGATTGTAGATGATTGTTTGGTAGTCAACTCAGTAAACTTTGCAATGTATTATAATTCAAGTTCAGGTTTTGATCACATATTGAATACTTAGATCTCTTAATGTGGAGATTGTCGATCCATAGTTGCTTTTGTTCATGTAGAGTCATAGTCTGTAAAGTTCTCTATGGAATTGGTCTGAGAGATACTGTTGTACCTGGAGCAGGAAATACCCAACTGCAATATTGTATCTCAGTGCTGTTTTCTGATTCAGGCGGCTGTTCCCCTTTCAAACTGTGTTTTTCTTTTTCTCTCGGGGTTCCTTCCCATAGCACTTTGACACCGCATTGTATTTCTTGGGGTTGTGATATTTGTTAAGGATGTGATTGTATTCCTTCATCGGTAGATGAGAATCTGCCTACGTAAAGGTTTGTGATGATACGGATCTTTTATGGCGGAACTGATATGAACTGATTTCCTAGATGCTTGAATTTGTTATTCAATGGCTTAAGCAAAGTATAATCTGCGTATTCACTTTCTGACCAAACACAATAAAACTCAGTATTGTATTACAACACCTCTGTACACTCTCTGCACTTCAAAAAGGAAGGAAAGTTAGTGTATCATTTTTCATCTGTAGTGTTGAAACTTGAAACAATGAGGTCATCTAATGATCTTAACTTGCATCAATGGTTGAGCATTGTAATTGAAAGATCAGCAAGCATTTTGGTTATGTTCATGTAGCATTTGCAAAGCCTCAGACAAAACCAAAAAACTTGCTTCCTCTAGATGGGAAGTTCCTGAAATTGAGAAAAAAAAAATGGCCAAAAAAAATACAGGGATTAAATTTTATTGACTAAAGTTTTGGGGTATAAATGAGAATTCCATATTTAGGATTTCCTTTTGCTTTCTGTCCCAGTTTATTATTTCAAGTCAAGCTAGTCCCTCCCAGGAGAAGTCCCACTTTTTTTTTTCTCTGTGTGCAGACAAGATTTATCAGCCATGGAAACTGCACAAACTACTTCAGTAAATCAGCCCCCGAGTTTTGCTGATCCTACGCTTAATAATGTTAGCAGTAGCAGGAAGAGGCCTTTTGACAACAATGTCCAGTGGGAGTACTCCCCTTACTACAAAATGCGCGCCATTGTTAGAGACCTTCGTCCCCATTTCATCGAGGTAGAAACCCCATCCTCGAATAAATTCATGAGTTTGATGCGAATTTCGAAAGTGCTGAAGAACTTATTGTGTTGAATTTTCTTTTGGGTTTGTTTGGTTTGTGGCCATTTTTGGCGATTGCAATCTTGGGTTTTACCCAAAACATTTGTTGGAAAGAACGAATTTCGTTTCTTTTGCTGAATCTGTAGATTGGGTTGTCCTTTATTGTGTTTGAGTTTGGCTTTGTTTCGTTATTTAGATGATATTGATTATTGAACCTTACTAGAACCGGCTTTTTTGTCCTTGACGTAGTTCTTGGTGATAAAAATGTGATTTTTATTTGCAGTAACGACAATGTTTTTTGGCGAAGTTTTATTAGAATGTGTATGATGAGTTTTTGTTTAGCGTGTTCTGGCAGTTTCTTTAAATCCCTTCATAATCTGGTGTGTTTGCCCGTTGGTTGTTAATTTGAGTAATTTCTTTAGGTTATCTCCAGAGCACTGAATATCCTTCATGAATCCCTTCCTGAAACATAATAGTATAGTGAGGAATGGTAGTTGACTGGATTTGTGCAATCTGAATTTGTTTCGACAGGGGAGGTGGTTTTCAAGATTCTGGAAATAATGCAGATTCTATGTCCTAAACAGAACATTTCATTAAGGAATTATGCATCCGAATAGTTGGGATCGCTGTATATTTAGATCAACTTGAATCGTAGTTTATGTAAATTTTACAATGGTGTCTGGTTCTTATTTGAATCTGTCTTACTAATTTGTTAATTCTACTTATGATGTACACTCTTCATGCTTAATGTATGACGAGCTGTTTTTATTTGATTGATATTGTGGCTCCTAAGGGTGTGATAAGACTTCTGAAGTCTTGTAGGTTCTTGTCATAAAGATCTTTTTTTAAGATTTGGCCCCAAAAGAAGCTCATGTTAGATTATTTCCTGAGCTTAGGAGGTGGGTAGTTTTGGCAATTTGAAAGTCATGAAATTGGTACATAATGACTTGAGATTTCTTGGAAGTAAGAAACCTTTGGATTGCCAGTTACTACTTAACATTAATGCTCTCAGCGCTATTTCTACACATAAATGTTATTGTCTAAACTTGAAAGGATCTGCATTACTTTTGATCTTCTCCCTGTTTTCTTTATGATGACTTCTTCTGGAAGTGTTCTTTCTTTGAATTATTAAAAGAAGTTCTTTATGATTTTGAAGGTTCTCAAAACTCCTGACTTCCGGAACTGCAAGGCAGCTGAAGAAATTCGTGAAAGTAAGCTCTAGAGTTTAAATTTGGTCCTGCTTTGTAGTTCATTTAGTGCTTCATTTTTTTAAGATTTGATGCTAGCACAAGAAACAACAGTTTTCTGCTAGCTGGTTACACAAGCTTCTCTCGATTGAATTGGACCATCTTCTTGGGGAATTTCTTGTACTTGGTTGTTTGCCATGTTATATAACAGCTGTTGTTTTATTTTCCTTCATTTTATTTGAACACTTCGTATCTTCCAACGCCAGTTGCTTGCTCTTTAGAGAGATGTTTGATCTCTGTTACCCGTCACTTTGGGAGGTCCATTTATGCATAAGGACTGAGCTTTCATATGACTTAGGTTCTTAAGTTTCCATTAACCTGATGTTTCTATATTATTGACCAAAGATGGTCTCTGTGTTTCTAAATTTGACCTGACTATCATTGCCCGAACTCATTTCAAAATTTGCACAATTTTATCGTTGAAGATACTTTCTTAAGTAGATATCCATTTTCTGCTGTATCAGTGTCCTTTATTTATTACGCTTTCTTTAGTAAATTTCAACTTTTATTTTTGGTAGATTTACATTTTCCTATACTCTATTTTCAGTGAAGGATTTCCCAAGGAAATGTGAATTAAAGCAAACATTTACCTTTTTGCCATTGCCTTTGGTATTTTGCTCTGTATAAAAGACGAAGTTTAATGTTGAATGTTTTGCAGCTTCATGGTTTGAATAGACATGTGGCCTTTTGCATGCCATCAACTTGCACATATTAATATCCGTGAGAATGGTGCCAAACCTGAACCATGGGAACCTACTTCGCCGTTCTAAATAAGAGAATATTTTTGTATGATTGTTTTTGCTGCTGGGCTAGCCTAACCCAAGTTGGTATCATGATTACAGAGATGAGGATAGTAATGGATCTATACAAAGTGATAGGAGAAACTTCATCAGTTGAGATGCAAGATGGACAGAAGAATCAGTCACATACGAAACCTCCAGAGAAGCCTCAATCATTTTTTGCTGGGAACATCTCACAGAAGCAGCAACCTGAGTTTGGTCTACCTGAAGGGACACATGTTGTTGGTGGTTCGGCTTTCGGGTGGAATTTTGTTACATTTCCTGAAAGTAAAGTCACGTATTATGGCAGAACGAAGGAATCTTTTCGACTGGCTAACCCGAAGACTCAAGTAGATGATTCCTGATTCTTTCACTTTTGTCCTCTTTTAGACCTTGTGTCAGCCGTGTGGTATAAGAAAGAATTGTTACAGTACAGTTGTATGGTATAATTGATTGGGTCTTCCTGAATCGTTCAAGCCAAAGTTCTAAAATCAAACATTTAGTAAGATTTTGGTTTTCATTTTCATCTGTTATTATGGTGTTTCTTCTTCTATTTTACTGTCATTTACAGAAATAGTGTTGCTGTACACACCCTTTCAAACCCTCAAAACTTTTATACTACATCATTATGAGAATTATCGCTCCTACTGTTAATATCATCAGTTTACTAAAATCGATACAAATTTCACATCACATTGAAGATGTATCACATCGTGTTCAAGAGCAAGTTTTAATTTTCTTGTCCAATTTTTGTTGCGCTCAAATTGAACGGATCAAGTTGATATTTGTTGCATTAATATAAGTTCTGGTGTTTTTGCATAGCTGTATTTCTATTAAAAAAATGGAAATTCTTTGAATTAATAAATTACTGCCTTAAATATTCTTCCATTTAAAGTAGCAAAGAAAATGCTAAAATACAATACAGATTACATCCTAAATAAATGATTCAACAGTAAGTGATCAAAACACTTGGGCTTCAGCAGTTATGCTGCGCCAAATACTTCGGCTACCTCAGTGCGGATGAAAATCTGATGCCAAACCATGAGTTCGGATTCTAAAAATTATAGTGCAACTTAAACAGGCCAATGTGCACTTAAAAACGCCGCAAATCTTTAGGTGGCTTGAAATTAAGGGGATGTGTTTCAGGGGTAGCAGTTTCATCCTCTCTCCACATCTTGATGGTCTTGTCAGCTTCACAACTGATGAGCCTCGACCCCGTGACATCATAGGTGAGGGCGTATATGCCAGCCTCACTCTCCAGCGATCCTAATTAAACAGAAAGCAGATTCAATTTTATCAATTAGAACCAAACAAAAAAAAAAAAAAAAAGGAAGAGAAAATCTACAATGCCAGTTACCAGGTTGAACTATGGTCTGAGCTTGCTGGAAATTATGACCGCTCTTCCAGTCCCAGAACCACAAACTTCCGTTATCACCTTCACCACAAAAAATAAGAATGATCAGCATGACCAGCATTCCAACAGTACTGCCGTTTAAATTTGAAAGCATACTATTCTCTAATACTTCTGTAAGGGATTTGATTACTGGCTTTATTTTATTTTCTGATAAACCAGCAAGAATCACTGGCTTTAACTGTATGAGCATCAGCTCAATGCTCCAAATAACTGGAGAGATGAATACAAATCAAAAGCTGGATGACCACACTTTCAGATCCTAAAACATGATACATAGTTGCAGCACTGAATTCTCACCTGCTGTAGCTAATACACCATCATCATTCACCGCCATAGCATTAAGGATGGTTTTCTGTTGAGAGCTGCATAACCAAAAACCATTAGGACTTCCCTTGGCATAAATCAGAATCATACGTTACATGAAATGAATGTCACAAGAACAAAATATGGGCAATGCAATATCAAGCTACGAAGAAAACTCACAGCATATTGTGCATAAATTCTCCTCTGGGAAGACTGAACTTTTTAATGTTGTCAGCAGACGCCGATGCAAAGCACTCCCTGTAGCATGAAAAGGTGAGTCATCTAAGACATGAAAGGAAGGCAACAAGTCTAATGTAAACAAAACGTACACCAAAATCCAGCAAAGGAAAAAGGATAAAATCTTACTCGCTTGGATGAGGTGCCATTGCACGCACAGATTTCTTGTGGTGTGTCAAAGTTGCCATGGTCTTACCTGCAAAAACATGCATTAGAATTCAGACATAAGAGAATGAAGATTACATACACAAATTATTCACAAAACTTTACCATGTCTAAGGTCCCAGAACTTTATTGTGGAGTCATGTGATCCAGTTACAACCTGCGGATCCTGAAACGATTCACCAGTGAATTAGAGATGCAAACAAAGTCCTGTGATGCCAAAAACAACAATTACAAAAATCGGTTAACCTAAGTCAAAATGAGCGTGCATTATTTATTTCCCACCATTAGTAATAACTGAAATTGTCATTCATTAGGTGCCTCAATAACAAGCTCCACAGGGCAAATTTAATGGTCTCCCTGTGATGTACAAGGATTGCTTAATCAACAAGAACATTCCTGGCAACTCTTATATCCATTTCTAAGCAGTATGAACAATTCATACCAATATTTATAATTTACTTCTAATACTTCTGATGATTTTATTTTATTTTTTCCATATTCTACAGAATACTATCATTTGAGATCAACAAAAAGAACTTTTACATACTTTCTTGCACAATGAAGGGAATACAAAAACCTAAGCTTCTCTAAGGATTGATAGCAATAAGTTTCATCAGATTATCCAGGTACGGCTAGAAAATCTCTGGTGGCGTATAAAAAAACTTACAGAAACTTTTAAACCTCAAACCAACTAAAACCTTACCGTGGGTCGAGTAAAAACTGAGCAGACAGTATTTTCGTGTCCACTAAGGGCGTGAATTTGCATCTTACTTCGAATGTCCCAAACCTGGTGGAAAAGAAAGTTTCATAATCATCAATGTAGTGTCTCAAACGCAGAAAATGAAAAACTTAAGAGGACCAAAGACTGGATATGTTGACAGCTACGAAATGCATACAAAAACTCCCAAGTATAGCAACATAAAGCATTATTTGAAGATTTGCCCCCAGGAGGGGATGAGAACATGATCATTCGCAAGTCTAGCAAGCATTCAGGAAAGTGTGTTTGGAAAAGTTGCATAACAAATTACATACGCGACAAACAGAATCACGTCCCCCAGTTAGGAGGACGTCAATAGTCGGATGAAGTGCCAGGCAGTAAACACCACTCAGATGACCATGATAAGACCGGATGACCTGCAGAAGCATAAAAAGTATAAGAGAGTTTATTTGACTACCCATTTATGCCAAAAGTACTGAATGTTCAATTCATTCATACTGACCTTATTTTGTTCGAGGTCCCAGCATTTTACTTGTTTGTCATCCCCGGCAGAAAACATATAAGTATGCTTGCTGCTAACAGCAAGACCTGCAACAAAACATTAAACACTGTCATTCTGCTCTCTACCATTCTCCCTTGAACCCATCTCTGACTTGTGGTTATCCAAGCAAAATGTCACATGTAACTAAAGTTGCTCAACTGCCAAAATATGAACCATTAACAACTAACCTCTTATTTGTTCAATATGTCCTGTTAATGTCAGCTTTAACTGTCCGCTAGCCAAATCCCAAATCTAATGAAACAAAACAAGGAAAATGAACAGAAGGAAGTCTAAGTAGGTGGTCCGAAACATATTGACTAAGAAGAGAATATTGATTCAATATTAATGCATATAAACAGACAGGCACTTGGCAGAAATGGTCATTTTGTTCCTAATGGTTGCGCACTAAAGAAATGATAAATAATGTCTACAATAAGAAAATGCCTTTAGACGAAACATAATTTAGGTGGGAAAGCTCAGAATTATGAATCACGAGTATCAGAAATTAGGACAAACTTAAATCTTAACCTTAACGTTTATTTTTAAAAAATTACAAATAGAGTTTTAATATACTAAACCTTGATTGTCCGGTCTGCTGATCCAGTACAAAACCAGGTATTACTTGGGTCAACCGCAACAGATCGTACCCATCCCAAATGACCACTGATGACCTAACAAGAAAAAAAAATCAATGTCAGGGAAGACATTATACTGCATTCAGTGATATATTAGCCAGAAGTTCAAGAATTGGAATTGAGCATTCAGGTAGTGATTGATAATTGATTATGAAGTCCAAAGTTTTCTTCAAGCATCTGGTGTGCGCTAGCTGAAGGTTGCTTGAAGTTTAAAAATCTAGTTAAAAGGAATTATGACAATAAAGAAGAAGGGTGTACTTCCATAAGATGAAAATGCCTTTGCTGCAAAGGCATAGAATTCTCCAATGAAGAAAGAATAAAAAAAAAAAAAAAAAAAAAACCAGATGCTAAAGACTCAGTAAAAGTAGTGCAACCAGCTACTTACTCTGTAATTCTTCCATGGGGGACGCCAAACAGGACGAGGCCACTTGCTCGGGATCCTTTCCATAAGAGCGGAAGTAGAATAATTTCTGGATTGCAAACACATGGAAATGCAAAGAATGTGAACATATCTTAATTTCCATAAACTTGTATGAGTCAAATAACAAAAGAAGAACCACAGTGTTGCATTAAGGTTCAGGATTTTGAAGAATTTACTGACCAGCACCAACAGAGGCAACTAGTAAAATTTTCTGGTTCTTCTTGGATTTTTAAGTTCATGTACAACCACACAAAATAATAGGTAACATGGAATGTCCTCTCCCCAACCCATCTCCCTCACTTCTCACAATTCTCTCAACCAAATGCATGTGAAGCTGCATTTTCGATAAATCCTATGATGTCTGAAAAGTTTTCAAATTCACCAATAGGAACAAGCAACAGCAAACCAAATAAGCGTAAATTTCAGCAGGACGAAATACAAGCCTCAAACTCTTCCCAAAGAGGATTTATACTATTGATGACAATCCAGAGTACACATTTACTTTTGTCAACAGCTTAAAATTGCCTTGAGATACTTTATTCCACTACCAAACGAGAAAAAAGAAAAAATGAAACTTAAATTTTATTCATGTGATGGGCAAGATATTTTGCAAGAAATGCATTACTATGTGTATTCTTTTCTTTTCAGACTATCCTGGGGATAGAAAAACCACCACATAAATTAGTCTCTCATAGCACTAAGCTCATAACAACACGAAATAAGTCATTTCTTTGGATATCATAGGTTGATGGATAAAAGAAATGCAGTCAGTGGATAAACAGTCACTAAAAAGGTGACAGCAATTATTAACAAGAGAAAAACAATGCAAACCTTTCAGATGGAACACGAGAAGCAACAAGTGCATTACTTTTGCCTGAGAACCCATCTTCAGCCCTGTTAAACCCAACATTAGGGAAAGAGAACTAAAATGGGAGAAATAGATATTATAATATTAGAAAAATATTATCCAGGGCCAGGAGAAAACATACATGCTATTTGGTTGTACAGAAGGACCAACAACAATCTCATTTTGGGCCACTCCTTGCTGTTGGTCTCTGGAGCTTTCTGGACCTTTTAAAGGCAGAAAAATTCAAAAAAAAGTATGTCAAGGGAACCAAAATTCCATTACAAACCAATTAACATGGTTTAGCAAAACAGCAGGATTGGCTAACAGCATAGATTTCTTCGGCATGCTTAACATGTGCTGACAACAAAAACGAAGCTAAATTGATCTTACGGGCAAAACTGGATTACTAGCTCAACTACATTAAAAGAGAGAGGCACAGAGAAACATGTATAAAGGCTGACCAATCAATCATATGCATGCAAGTCTCATGACATCAAGTAATCATTTCCAAAGGTTATTACCAACACAGATTTCAATTCTTAGCCCAAGATCATTACATCATGAGCTTCTTCTGACTAACAGGATGATTGAACAAAAACAAAGATCATACAGAATAATATATTCAAAGCTTCAGCTAATAAATCTGAAACTTATACACTAGTCTGGAAATAGCCATGTTGATATCAATCACTTTGAAAAAAAAAAAAAAGAGGGAACAAGGAATCCAATAATGCACCGGTATAATTATCCAAACTCCCCGAGTTCACCAGAAAATCAAAAAACATCAATGCAGAAACAAAAAAATTCAATACCAGGAAGAGCAAGAACATTCGAGGTAGCAGAAGACTGTTGGGCGTTAACTTTACGGGCAGGTGCAGGCTGAGTATTGGTGCCTTTAATGCCTTGGTATTCAACATTCAGCTGAAATATCATAACATAACAGAAACTCATCAGAAAGTTCAAAACCCCATAGAAAAACTCGACCAAGAATTAAACTAACTATAAAGAATCATATATCTTATAAGCCATTCAATTAAGATTCCCATAAAACAATCCAGTAGTACTTTACTTCTTTCACAGCCAATCCATCAACTTCTAAAAAAAGTAACAATTAAATTCGAAACAATCACCAACCTTGTGGCTGACGCGAACCTTTTTGCTGAAATCAAGAGGAGCAAAAAACGAAAACAAAAGAAAACATAAAGTCAGAACTTCTCCGTAAAATAATAATTTGAGACATAAATTTTACAATCCAGGCATTAAAAGAACAGAGGTTTCTGGCGTTTGAGTATGGTTACCTTTCGGCATCGGGAGGAGGGAACTGGCCGTGAAGCGGGGAGAATACATCTAGGGCACGTTTTACGGACTTTAAGCTCAGCTTCTTTAATGATTGGGGTTCTACAGGAAATTCCCCCTCCATTGTGGCGCCGGGCATTGCCCTTATTTCGCCTAGAATCCTCCGAGCTTAATACTTTTGATCCTTAATCCCGGGAATAGGTTGTGGTGGTGGTGCTGGGCGGTGGCCGGTGTCGGAACCGCTGCGAGGACTTTGGGTTTAGGAAGGGAGGGAGAATAGAAAAAAGATTGGAGTTGGAAATCCTTTTAGTACTAACAATTTAGCCGACAATTCGCTAAAAAGAGGAACGCACCATATCACGCCTTCATAACATGGGTAAAACGGTAAAAGTATAAAAGAAAAGAGAGTTTTATGAAGAAGTATGTAACCAAAAATGTACTATATGTGAAACAATTTTCTTATTTCATTTATTGTATGCTACCTGTGATTAGACTTGGAAAACTTAATTATAAACAAATAGATTTAACACATTTTCAAGGTGATCGACTACTACTGATTGAGAAGATCACTGCAAGGATAAGTTGTTGGAGTTCCGGGCATTTATTTTATGCATGAACAACTCTATTGATGAATACTGTACAACTGAATTTAAACTCTTACAGAGCTACTATTTTCTTAATTCCGCAATCTGTGATTTAACAAGTCATATACAAATGTAGAAGATATTTATGAGGATTTTTAACAAGTACAGAAGTACTAATGCATTCAAATAAATTTAGCAATCTTACAAAAAAACTAGTCTTATATATGTAGAACTCATACTGTTGTGATCAATTACATCGTGTTGTAATCAATTGATTTTAATAAACTTACCTATCAATTTTAATTTCATTAAAATTTAACTTGTAATCATTCAGCATTACTAATCATGTTCGTAGTAGTACATAAGAAAAGCGTATTACATACAAATAATACAACTACGTTAAGAGATTCCATTACTTGTGATATTTCAATACTTATGAGACACCAAATGTTATGATCTTTTAGGTGTTATTAGTTGTTATTAGTAGTACAATAATTTTTCTTCTCCAAAATAATTATTTTGACAAAAAAGAACGAACAACTCAAAATTTGAGGGGTAAAATTTACAAATATCAATGAATATATATATTTTTTATATAAAAATAATAATAATAAATTGGGATTTAATTACGCCTCGCAACTGATACTTTAAAAAAGAGGGAAAAGAACGAAGACGGAAAGGGGAAAACCGGAAAGCATCAGTATTCAGTAGTTCGAGCCCTAGGGTTTAGGCCGCACCCCTCCGAGAAGTCGCCACCTCTGACACCGGTCACATATTGAGGAATTCGGTAGCCTGCCCCAAATCCAATTATGTCGAAGAAGAATAATTTGGCCACCAGAAGAAGGCAACATGCATTCGACCTCCAAAGTTAGCATCTTTGAACTTCTTTAGTAGATTTTAGTTCTTTATTATAGTTTTGGATGAATTCAATTGGGGCTTTAATTTTTCTTTTTGTTTAGATTCTGATCGTTTTTCTATTTCTTAATTTTTTGGAAATAAATAGGGGAAAAGCAGGAGAAAGAACTAAAGGAAAAGAAGCTGCAGGCCAAGAAAAACAAGATGAAAGTAAGTTGATGTGATAATTCTTTTTTCTCTTCGGATTCTGTATCCTTTTGGTGTTATTTTGTTTAGGCATGAATTTAATTCGAGCGAGTTCTGTTTTAGGTGGTTTGTTTTTCCTTGCTGTGTTGAAAGAGCATGCACAAAGGGGGAACCTTGTCTTAGTTAACTTAATTTGTTCTGCATTTTGATGATTTTGCTTATTGTTTTACAATTGTGGGTACACGGTTAGGATTGATTGTGATTGAAGGGTCAATGTGATTATTGTAGTTTTGCTTTGTTTAAGTGAATAAAATGTTGGTTTGATTAGGTGGATGGTGGCAACAAAAAGAAGGGAGGGGGCAAGTTTCCAGTGGGGAAGAAGAAGCTGAAAACAAAATTGACGCAATTGGCCAAAGCTAAAGCTGCCCAAGCAATGGAGCTGGACAAATGAAGTTTTATGTGAGGTAGATAGGAATTCTCTACTGTAAGAAGCCAGATGTCATTTATGTTTGTGGCAATTGAAATTTGTGTTTGTAGCTAAGAATGAAGAGGAACAGTCACATTTTTGTTTATGGCTTTATGCAAACTATTTATGGAATAACAATTTTTGTTAAAAGTGTTTCATTTTAGGCTTATTATCTGTGTGTATTCCTAGGCGGAGGGAGGGAGGAAGGTCTTGTTCAGTTTATAGTGCTAGCTATGCTGCGTAGAAAGCCACTTGTTTTATTTTGTTTTCTGGTGTTTGTATTTGGAGTTCGTTATTCAGATTCGGGTGCTAGGAATGTTATATATTCTTCCGATGTTTAAAGACTGGAATATTTGAAGGCTTTCTTTTGTGAATATTATGAATGAGCTTATGAGGATGGTAGGTAGTTCCTCCTTGTTATAAAACAGCATATAATGTACAATCTATCAAAATCAGTGGATTCAGACTTGGGTTTGTAAGGTTAGGTGTGAAGGGTTGCTAATCATACATGATGGAGAAAAGTGCAGGTGATTTAATAGCTGTAGTTCTGAACCTGGTTAACTGCTGCCTAACATGATTCATTGTGCCAAATCCCTAGCAACCTAGACTTGAAAGTAGAATTACATGTGGATTTGAATCTTCAGGCTAAGGTGAGCAACATATGGAGAATGTTCATGCTATCTCATTCTGAGAACATAAGTTCTTGTTTTATGTTTGAAATCTACAAATTTCCCCCGACAGTCCTAACCTAGTACATTCAACACCTGCTAAGCACACAATTTTAGCTTGTTATCCACCCCAGTCCTTAACCAAATTGCATGTCTTCCTCATCACTCTGACTATCAGACCACAGCTTAATGGCGCGATCACGCGACACAGTTGCAATATATTGCCCATCTCGTGCTATATCCAGTGACGTGACTTTCGCGTCATGCCAAGATAGTGTCTGAATCGGCCTAAAATCTGTTGATGACCACACCTTAGCTGTTGTATCAAATGAACCAGTAACCAAGAAGCTTCCTTGTTGTGATTCAAATTTCACCTGAGATATAAGATTTGAGTGAGCTGGTATTATACAAAGTGATCTTTTCTTCCTTAAATCCCAGACACGACAAGTATTGTCTTCACCACCGGAAGCCAAATGATAGCCATTAGGGGAGAAACTGACCCCAAGAACTGGCTTAACATGACCTTCCAATGCAAGAATACCTCCCCCAGATCTCAGATCCCATACTCTAACAAGTGCATCAAGTCCACATGTTGCTACCAAGGCACCATCACCTTGAAAAGATATTCCATAAACACTTCTACTATGACCTTCTTGGAGAAGTAACTCTTCACCTGTCTCAACATCCCACAGCCTCCATGTCTTGTCAAAGCTAGTTGTCCCCAAGTATTTTCCCATTGGATGGAATGCAATGCGAGAAAGACGATCCAAATGACCATGGTATGTGTTCAAGATCAGCCCTTCTGTGTTCCATAATTTTGCTGTCCTGTCAGCGGAGGCTGTTGCGATCAGGTCTCCAATGGGAGAAAATGCAACATCTGTAGCTCTCTCTGTGTGACCGCCCCTTAGAATTGCGATTCTGGTCATATTTGGTATGCTCCATATCCTTGAATCTCCACTCAGTGAGCAGGTGGCAAGCATATCTCCTTCCTGTGAGAAGGAACATCCTGAAAGAGGCCTCTCATCGAAATTAGTCCTCAAAGGTCTCCATTCTATGACCTCTGCATCTACCAAGTCTTCCTGATTGGGATCACCATCTCTTCTTGTCTTAGCATGGTGAATGCATAATGCCGCTTTTACAATTGAATACCTAGCGATATCTAGGCGAGCCTCGCGAAGGCGATTTGACCCTTCAGTGTAGAAAGGATACTGAATTTTTTCCTCAGCAGAAGCATCATCACCTGCAGCAGCTTCATCATCCTCATGAGCCTTCAACAGCTTCTCCAACTGGCCTTCAGAATCAAGCTTCACCATAAGCTCTCGCAGCCGTTCTCTTCTTTCCATCTCCCGATCACCAAAAAGGGTAACGGGCTCGCCCAATCGACGAAGACGAGCTCGAACCGATGAATCGTTTGTAGGCACAGCAAGAGCAGCAGCTCGTCTCTTCATGATATGATCTTGGACTGCTTTCTCATGCTTCTCTCTGGCCACTCTGATTTCTTCCGAAAACTCGAATTCGGAAGGTGACAATGGCCGAGGAACTGAAACAGAATTGATCTCCTCAACATCCATTATTAGGGTTTTCTTTAGCAAGTTGATGATTTCAGTCGGGGTGCTGAGATTTGGGATCAGCGCAGAATGAAGTTCTTCCGCAATTCAATTAACCCCTCTATTTAAAGGAAACTATCTCGAATCCAAAAGGTAATAATAATTGAAACAACCGAATCCTATTTTATTTCGGTTTAATATTCTACGTTCTCATTTGTGTAGGGTGTTTGACCAAAATAATGCTCCAAAATAGTGAAGGACATTTTTTTAATTTTATTTTATTTTTTTCTGGTCATGAAATACCTTTACCGGAAAATAGAATTCCGTTTTCTAAAGGTTTATTTGAACCGAAAAATGCAAAAAATAATTTCTGCGTAATTTTAATATTGAAATTGTGTTGGGAAAAAAAAAAACGGAATATAAACTCCGTTTTATATAACGAACTGAAACGCCGTTTTTTTTATTAAAGTGTGGTTGCCCAACACAATTATTAATCTGACACTCACCCACTGTTTGTGGCAGGCTTTTCTAAAAACGGAAATTGAAATTCCGTTTTTAACACATTATATGATTGGATATTTTCACTATTCGCGCATTTGGGCAGTTTTAGACGAAATAAAAGTTGGATGCAGTTTGGAAGAGTCCGTGCATTTTGGCTTGTGTGATCCCACATTTATAACATTAAAAAGTTTAGTAATATTTGATCTTATTTGTTAGGTTTAAGTGTATTTACTATTTTACTAATTTTTAAATTAGTTTAATTATGTTTGCAACGTATTAATCATGTGACGACCGATGAAATGACCTTTCTTGTATGCTTTATGAGATTCTTTATTTTTTTTTATGTAGAATTATTAAATTTTTTAGGGTCGTATTTTGTTGATTTTGAATTTGTCACGTTGATTGATGTTTATTAGGTGTTAATTGTAAATATTTAGTAGGGATTATTATGTTTTTTTTTTAAAATTTAGAATTACTAAATTTTTTAGGGTCCTGTTTTGTTGATTTTGAATATATTACGTTGATTAATGTTCATTCTGTGTAAATTGTAATTATTTAGTACGGATTATTATGTTTTTTGACCAGAAAAAATGGAGTGAAACGGCCCATATTTTATTAATGTATACTGGAGAAATAAGTATGTTGCAAAGGATGGTATGACTTGAACTTTTGATAATAGGGCAGACGTCACATTGTTTATTGAATGCAAACTGTCGTATTATGAGTTTTTGGACAGAATTTGTGATAAGGTCGGATGGGATAGAGATTCTGTAAATTTGAGAATTACTTTATTGTTTGAAACCAATGGTGTTAGACGTACCACAATAATCATAGATAACTCGTCTTTGGAAATTATTTATTATTTCCCTCGATCATCAAATTTGGAGCTGTATACAGAAAATGAGGGAATAGTCCATGCTCAAAATTTATTGAACTTTTTTTGATAAACATTGTGTACATTTGTGTCCCAACAACAATGGGCGAGTACTTCTCAGCAACATGCAGAAGCAGGGCCGAGTACACTTTGGTCACAGTCACTTTGGGTAAGTATTTCTCAACAACACACAGAAACAAGGTCTAGCAGGAGTAGCGGGGATGGATTTATTGGTGAGGATGAAGGCGGGGATCAACATGATGACCGTGATTCGGATGATGATGATGATGTGAATCAGACTGGACTTATATAGAAAGTGAAGAAAAAAGTGACTATCAAACATCAGTGTCAGACTAAACTGATGACGAAGAAGTAGAAGAAGAACAAGTGGACAAATTAGTCACTTCTGGTCAAGGTCAGCATATTTATTTAGAGATGGGTAAATTTAACATTGCGTTAGTAGACAGAGATGAATTTGCACTTAAGATGTGGAAAGAGAAGAAAGAAAATATTAGTTTAAGGACGTGTTTCAACGACAAAGAAGAAGTTAAGACAGCTATCAAAGACTGGAGCAGTTCACATAATACACATTTTTATGTGAAAAATTCTGATCGAAGAATGTGGATTGCAGAGTGCATAACAAGAAAAATGAAAACTCCACCCGGCCACTATACTTGTGGATGGAAGATGCGTGCATCTTTGAAGGCTCATGTTCTGTGGGAAATAGTAAGCTGAATTGATCGACATAATTGTGTTAGATAGACCATAGAAAATGACTACCGCAATGTGACATCATGGATAAGTGCTGAAACATACCTAGATTATAAAGTAAAGTTGATCAGAACGATGCGAAAACACACTATAATGTGGATGTGAAGTACAATGAAGCATGACACCTCTGCTTTGTATCTCATAAAGTGCTCCTTCAAACTCAACCTAAAAGAGCTGAACCAATTGCTTAGGTTCTATTTGGTTCTGTTTTTGGCTCTATGATTAATACGTATAATCAAAGTCCATTTTTAGTGCTGTAGCTATAAAAAACAAATTTTTGTTTTCTGGTACTCCTGCTGATCCTGCTATTTCATTCCACAAATGGTGTTGGAGCTGTATTTTGGTAATTGATTCCATTTGACTGGGGTGTCAATACGAATGAACTTAATCAGTTACTACTTTAATTTAAAAATTTAAACAGTTGAAATAATGTGGTTGTAATCTAAAATTGTTGATTTAAATTTTATGTGACAAAATACGACATACATTAAAAAAATTACTCGATCAAATTTTTGTATCTCAAATTACTATCAAGAATAACTAATCTATTTTGATAAAAGTTTATGTTATCTCCAACTTAATATGTTTAGTTGTCCCATCATACAATTTTTTCTAGTAAAAAGGAAAAAAAATTCTTAACTTTGGTTTATGCCATGTATTTTTCTTTTCATTTTGGGAAAACAATATTTTTTTTTTTTGGTAACGCCGGGAACTCCACCATAGATGGGTAACTAAAAGGAATAATGTTTGTAACTAATTATTCTCATGAAATTATTATTTCTATTTTTTTTTCTTGTTTCACTTAAAGATACAACATTTAGACTTTGGTATAAACTTTAGGGAGTTTAGTGTTGCATAAAAAACGTAAAACTTTTTGGATTGAAAAGTTTTTCTTTTCTAAAAAAAAAATGTTAAACTTTCATTTTTGGATGGAGGAATTGTATGACATAATCTATAAATTTTATTTTACCTTTGTCTCTGTGAAAAAAAAAACAGTTTTTATTTTAAAATATGTAATACATTTGAATCTAAATTAATATGAATCTAAAACTTAGACAATAAAAACTCCGTAAATTAATACTCTACAAAATTTTATAAATTCTACTATTAAATAATAACTTTTTCCAGCCCCAAGTTGGGATAATACTAAAATTAAACAAATTTGATAAATTAAAAAGATAATAAGATTTTACGAAATTCCTATATATATATCGCTCCTCTAAAAATCATAAATTAATGATAAAAAAACTAAGAATTTTTAAGAATGTAGGAGACTATTGAGTATTTTATTTACATCTGAAATATTTTCAGCTATCATTTTGTCTCCAACCCGTAAATAAAAATAATAGAGCTGAACTTGATTTTATATTTCTTAATAAATTAAAAAGAATCTTGAAATTATTAAAATATTAATCTATCGATAAAATAATAATTTTTATAAATTAGCAAATTTTTAAGGGCCAACACTATTAGTAGAATTTTCACTGTATATTTTTACTACTAGTTTCTTTCACACATCGTTTTGATTCTTTTGACCTTTTTAATTTGGGTTAAGGAAAAATAATTTGAAAGGGTAAGGCGGTAGTAAGACCAGAAATATTTATCGGGTCCGGAAATCTTCCGAATCCGATCAACTGTATCTTCTATTCTCCGACCCTCCCTCCGATCAAATTCCGCCGGACCCTCGCCACTCACCAACTCCATCAATTCGCCGCCGCTTTCTGCGCATTTTAATTGAGGCATTTGCTGTCTTCTTCTTGAGCTTCCGCGGCAACAGCCGAGTGATAATCGTAAACCTAGCCGCCGTTCGTCCAAAAATCCACCGGTCAGCGGTCCGCTCTCTGCCCTCTCTACCCTCAGAATCTCCATTTTAACGTTTAACAGGTACGGTTTCTAGTATCCGTTAAACTTGGTTTAAGGAACGTAGGAAATTTTCAGTTGCGGAGCTTTGGAAATTAAGCTTTTAATATTGTCCTGGTTTGATTTCTATGTAAATTCAATTTTATAATTTGCTTCTTTGGTTTGTAGAGGGGATGAATCCGTTAACTTTAGTGAAGCGCATTCAGAATATTAACGCAAAAGAAGCAGCCTTAGGGATTTCCGATGAGGCGTCCTGGCACGCTAAGTACAAAGAATCTGCCTATGTTTTCGTCGGCGGCATTCCTTATGACCTCACTGAAGGCGATCTCCTTGCCGTCTTTGCTCAGTAAGCTTCTTCGTTTTGTACATATGATGTTTCTGGTTGTAGTATTACATATATGTGTATTTATCTGTTTTGATGATTTTTAGGTACGGGGAGGTAGTTGATTGTAATCTTGTTAGAGATAAGGGGACTGGAAAATCTAAAGGCTTTGCATTTATTGCATATGAAGATCAAAGAAGTACTAACCTTGCTGTTGGTGAGTCCTAGGCATTTTGATTCTCAGTTTTTTTTTTTTTGTATTCTTGTTGTTGGTTTACTTTAGTTCTTTATCTAATTTGATTACTCTGTTGCAGATAATTTGAATGGTGCTGCAATTTTGGGGAGAACAATTAGGGTAGACCATGTTAGCAAGTACAAGAAGAAAGAGGAAGAGGATGAAGAGACTGAGCAAAAAAAGAGGGAAGAACGTGGTGTTTGTCGTGCTTTTCAAAGGGGTGAGTGCACTCGTGGTGCTGGCTGCAAATTCTCTCACGATGAACAGGTGAGTTCAGTTAACTTTTGGTTGAATACGTTGGTAGGTTAACTAGTTATCTAGATGTGAGTATTTGTGGTTGTTGCATACTCTAGTACTTGTAATCTGCTGTTATTGTTTAAACTTTGAACTATTTCAGATCACACAGACACCCTATTTCACGAGTTAATGGAGTGAAAAGTAGAGTTCTGTTGATAGATAATGAACTAATGTGTAATTTACAGTATTGTTATAACATACTTCTTCCTGTCGATTAATTTGCAGCTGTAACTGGCCTAAAACTGGACCTCCTTCTTCCTGTTGATAAATTTGCAACTGTAACTGGTCTAAAACTGGACCTCCCATTTTCACTGGCTCTTGATCAGGAATTGTGATTATAGTGAATCATTGTACAGTAGCTTTTAAATACGAGAATATGTTAATCATTGATAGAAGAAACAATTATAAAACTTATTGAAACAATTTGATTACTTATGAATATTTTGGTGATAACGTGGACAATTGCTATTGTGTGTCATTAAAAATGTGTCTCCTGTTAAGTAATCCTATTTGTTCGTGCCAATTTCGTGACTGTTTTACAGTCCATTGGTGTTTCTGTTACATCTTATTCGTATACTTTGGACTGTGGTATGGTTGGAGTAAATTATGAAGTCTGGTTTTTTGCTTCCTCTAATCTGTTATGTGAATTTAGTGTTTCGATATCTTGAATTTCATTTGCTTACTGTGGTATTTTGGTTCTTGATTCAGAGAGCTGCAAATACTGGTTGGGGTCGCGAAGAAGATAGGCGTTCAAGAAGAGCCGATGGCAGAATTGAAGCTTCTGAAAGAAATGAAAGGCCAAGGCATGTGGATGACAGGGATGACTCTCGTGATAGAGGTAGAAGAAGTTATGAATCACACTCTAGAGAAGATCGCGATCAGAGAGATGCGAGAAGTTCAAGAAAGCGCGAATCTGAATCTTACCACAGAGAAGATAGGGATGCAAGGGGGAAGAGTAGAAGGGGTGATCATGAATCCTCTTCAGATCGTCGTAGAACCTTGGACGAAGAGCATCGGTCTAGATCTCACAGACACTAGGACTTTTGTAGTTGGTCTCCGATGCACGATATGTTCCAGACTTCCAGTGTACTAGGTGTTTCTTCTCCACTGTTTATTGTTGCTGCCTTTTTTTATTAATCAGGATTCAAGAATCTGTCAATCTGACGTAACTGTCTTTGTAAATCTGAAGGTAGAGATGATTTACTTTGTAGAATCATATTCTGGTTCGAAATGATCAGAATTGGTCATTGGAGTTATCAATTTTGATCATGATGTTATCAACGAATTTTGAATATCTTGTTTGAAACTGTGTAGACGAGAGAGTAGTTTAGAGCTGATCTATGTTATGGATAAATGCTTTGTTCACCAATTCAATTATCGATCGCCTCCTTTTTCTATATACAACCTGCTTATGTATACGCCTCAGCGACATCTTTTTTATCCGTCTTGGTGTACACAGCAATTGTATATACAAAAATTTCTACGTTTCACAAACGTTGTAAACCAAAATGGTCGTTACGAACTTACAATCCATATCCTCCCTATCGCCCTGCAATTATAGTGAGCATTATGAAAACTACATAAGAAAGTGAGGAAATGAAAACTATAGCGTGATTAACCTCATGGTGTTTCATCAAATGTAGAAAATTATTATGGCGTGATAAGCGAGTCGTGTTTCGTGTTTACTAACTGAGTGCTGAAAATTTCATGAGAAGAATTCCAAAGTTTAAACTTTGAATTAAGGGTTATTTTATTCACATTGATTTCATGTTGGGTCACAAACGTTTTTTCCCCCAGTTGAACCTGTGTACTTCGCACTGGCAATGGTAACCAAAAGTAAAACATTAGATGTGCTGTTGAAAGCTCCGTGTCCGACGATGAACTCACAGCCAAAGGCGCGTGAATATCGCAGAAATCTAGTTTGGCTCGACGTCAACGCCATAAATATATCGTCAGTATTATTATCATCTGCACAAACTCTGTATTTTTTTCTTTTTTAATTTTTGAAAGAATAATTTTTGTCATACGAATTTTGTTTGTTTCATCTGCTTTCAAGCTTCTTTAATCACTCTGTGTACGCTGTTCAATCTGTGAACTGCTGCAATCGTAATAAGTAGCAAACGGAAGCAAACAAAGTAGCTGATGACACACAAAACGGTACACCCACAGTGACACAACTGAATGAATCAGAAGAGATAGATAGATAGATAGATATAGATGTAGATATAGGTGAACAACTTTTAAAGCACAGAAAATAAAAGAAAAGTAAAACTGACCCAAATTTTTTCTGCTTTATTTTTTACCTTTCAATGTGGTGGCTTTCATTTCATGCAAAGATATTTCAGATAAAGACTGGCTCCCATTTGGGCATTGTTGCCATCATGTTGTGTTCCATCATTTTACATACAGTAAGTTCAGTTCACTTCCTCACACTCTTTTCTCTCTCTCTCTTTAGTCTTTTCCCCTCACTGACAATGCTTCAATCCTTCTTAATTAATTCACCTTCTTCATTTGGTTTTTGACTGATTCTTTCCTAAAATTTGATCCCTTTTTCTTTTCCACAACATTTGACGCTTTTCACCTCATCAAAGTTTTAAGGCTTGAAAAGTAAAAAAGGTTCTTGACATTCATAAAGTTGCTATCTTTGACTTGGCCATTCTTTGGGTTGTTGTGTTTTTTTCTTTCTGGGATTGAAAACTGAGCTCATAATCACATTACTGGAAGTTGGTTTTTCTTTTTTTTTTTCCTTCTCATGCAAAATGGACAATTGTCAAAACTTGTGACTTGTGTGTGAGCGTGTGCTGTGGTTTTAACTTTTGAGAGGAGGTGCTTTGGGTTTGAAGGCTCCGTTAAATATGGGTTGGTGGGAGAGTGGGAGTCAGTGGACCAGATCAGTAAATAGTTTCTCAGTCTTTATCCATTTCCTTTTGTCTTTGAATTGAAGCCTCTCCTTGTCTATCTTGGTTTTGGTGAGCTGTAAAACGCCCTTCAGTCTTTTCCTCCTGCTGCTATGTTGAATTTTGAACCTTCATTAGGTCCATGCCCAAAGGGTTCTTCTCTAATCATCATCTTCTTTGCCTAAAAAGAACCCTTCTTTTTTTCTGACAATTCAATCTCTTCATTATGTGTGCAATAATCTTAGACTGAATGCCAGTAAATCTGAATCTGATCCCTGTTCTTTTCCACCTCTCAAGCAGGACCCTTTTGCTCTGCTTTCAGGCTGCTTTGTTTGAGCTCATTTCTTGAGGGTTGTCTCTAGTTATGCATACTACTTGGTTAATTCTACACAATTCGTCGACATATTGGGGCAGTCTACCATGCTGTGATGTTCCCAAGAATGGATTTTGGTGATCATGTCTGCTTGACAATGTGATTGTTGTCATATACCAACTGAAATTCAACTTGGAACCAAGTTCTTTTTCCCTTTGTTCAGCTTGAAATTTCGTCCAAGATTAGGAAATTGATTCACTTTGAGTGGTTTTCTGTTCTTTCACTTGGAAAAGTAAAGCCCTTTCAGCAGAGAAGAAAAAAGAAACAATTTTTGTTTCAGAGATTAGGTTTAGAGCTTTTGAGTTTTGAAGATCTCAGTGATTACCGTAAAGTTTGTAGTAATCCATGGATAGAAGAGATGCAATGACCTTTTCCGGGTCATCCCCTTACTATATTCAGAGAGGAGTAACTAGTTCTGGGAGTAGTTTACAGGGATCACCAACAATGTATCCATTAACAGGGACAAATGCTTCTTCTTTCCAACCTAATGCTGTTGGAAGTCCAATTGGTGGATCATCACTATCAGTTGAGCCATCTTCAGCAATGTCAGTTCGTGGTGTCAATGCAGGGGCACCCTCAACTATGCCACAGGGTGAGCCAGTTCGGAGAAAAAGAGGAAGACCTCGGAAATACGGACCTGATGGTAGCAAGGTTTCATTAGCATTGTCTCCAACTTCATCTGCTCCTCCACCCCCGGTTTCAACCTCCACTGTTCATAAGCGGGGAAGAGGAAGACCACCCGGAACTGGCCGGAAACAACAACTAGCCACCCTTGGTAATGCTTTATGCTTTTAGGCCAATTATTGATGACTATAATTGAGAAGTTCTGTACTTCTTTTTCTGGGATATCTGGTTTCTGTGACATTCTCTTGTTAAGTATGTCTCGGATTATTTCACTGACATTGCAAATCTAACTATGTTTGCTAGGTGGATTGCTGTCAAGTTCAGCTGGGATTGGTTTTACTCCGCATGTGCTCACCATTTCTGTGGGAGAAGTATGTGGATCCCTTTGTTTATGAGTATTAGACTTTTAACTTAAGTTGTTAAAGTGTACTAATCTAAAGTTAAAAAGGCTATTCTGTTTTGACTTTGTCATTTGACAAGCATAGATTAAAATATCTTCTGCTAGATTAATTTTTTTTTTTTTTGAATTTACAATGGCATATGAGGCCCCCTTATCCTTTTTTCCTGACTTTATAATTTGTTGCAGTAAGCAACTGGTAGGAAGCCCTTACAAGAGATTTTTGTTTTGGAAACTTAACAATATCCTGATAGATATTATGATCATGTTTCTGCAATGTGTCAATTCTATCCCTATACACGTACTGATAGAGAGTATTTGATCTCTTTTATTAGATTAATTGACAGACATGAATACGTTGATACGTTGATCGACTTATTTAGGTCTAAGTAGAAGATCCGTTCCTCTTTTACTGAAAATTTGAATTTGTGCAGGACATTGCAACAAAAATAATGGCATTTTCGCAACAAGGACCGAGGGCTCTATGTGTCTTGTCCGCAAATGGTGCAATTTCCACAGTAACTCTTCGCCAGCCTTCATCTTCTGGTGGCACTGTGACATATGAGGTTAAATTCTTCATCATGATTTTGCTTAGTATTTGACTGATTAAGTGAATGTTTCTTTCAGTTTGGACATAAATTAACAGATGGTGAAAACTAAAAGAACTTTACATCATCATAAGCATAACATTGTCCATCTACATTCAGTCTTTGTGCAGGACTTGGCATGATTTGAGTGTTTACATAATGCACTAGTCTCACTTCTGATATTTTAACTACCTGTGGTAATTAAGAAAACAACGCTATGCATGCTCACACAAGAAACGTCATATAGGTGACTTAAATGTAAAGTATGCCGAAATGGCATTTGCATACTTGGTAGGTGAATTTGAGCAAGTTTTAGCCGTTTCCTGATTATATTTTTGAAGGAATTGATTTATTTCAGCATATTTGTACAAAGAATCCTCTATCTGACCTTTTAAGCAGTCAGAAAAATTAGCATTGTTTCTAACGGTCAATCCGTCAGAGACTTCTCGTTGTGAGAAGATCCCTCTTTGACATGGGCTGTTTTCCAGTTCGGCAGATGAACTCATCAGAAGTGTCTTTTCCATTCTGTAGCTCATTGTTCATCAAGTTCATTATCTGTATATCTATCTGATGCACTCTTATCCTTTCCTTCTTTGTTGTGCATGTATCTTTTATTATGTCAAATTAAATTTTCACCTCCTTTCGTCTCTCCAATCATAGGGACGGTTTGAGATATTGTGCCTCTCAGGCTCGTACCTGGTAACTGCAAACAGTAGTTCTCATAGTCGAATTGGTGGTCTAAGTATCTCTCTTGCTAGTCCTGATGGTCGTGTAATTGGTGGTGGAGTTGGGGGTGTTCTCATTGCAGCCAGCCCAGTTCAGGTGACTTGTAAAATTTTTTCATTCAGGATACCGTAAATTTCTGTCCTTTTTCCTGAATCCTTGGTCCAAACTCTAAAGGCTATGGCCCCATTCTTGATTTGTAATTCACAGGTGATAGTTGGGAGCTTTCTGTGTAGCAGCAATTCGAAGACAAAGCAGAAGGATAGCCAAAGTGTTGGGAGTGCAGTAGAATCAGATCATCGGATGGTTGACAATTCTGTAACCATTAATAGCTTTCAACAAAGTCAGAATCTGGGAACAACCTCGTCGATGGCGACATGGCCTGGTTCACAACATATGGATGTAGTACAAACTTCTCATGCTGACATTGATTTGATGCACGGATGACCAAATTTCTGCTGGCTGGTAGGTGTAGAGATGAGCATTCTGTATATATATTGCACATCAAGAGCCAACATGAAAACTAATTTCTTCTAGTCCTAATGGATCCGGGAAGGAGCTAGCTTGCGTTCCTATATAAACCTGGTTCTAATTACCAATCCTAGCTCTAGGCTGTCCTACTGTTTTTGCAGTTTAAGGAATAATATATAATTCTTGTACTACATTTCTGCACTTCTTAACTGTGATGACTCGCAGAGTTACTCTGAATTAATGAACCTGTTCATTTGAAGTAGTAGCAACCAAGTTGAGAGCATTACTTATTGTCATATTTTGATCATATTTGGAATAGACTGATCCAATGCAGTTTATGTTCGCATTATGTGTACAGGAACACGTTTCTCTAACACGGTTAATACGCTATAAGTGAGGTAGATAATCTGATTTCAAACATTAAGTTATACAATTCAATCCACACAGTAAAGATCTGACAGTAACATGATCGTCATAAAAAAAACGAAGATTTAGCAGGGCTAACAGATTCATTAAGCATCAGACCAGGTGATCTGCAGTTCACCCCGATCACCTTCTGAAACTCCCAAGGCTTCCCAAACAGCTTTGGAGGCATCGACAATGCTGTTACCGCATGGTGGCTGGTAACCATGCTCTGCATCACATCCCACTGTGGAGTTACATTCATCCACTACCATAGCTATCACACTTCGTGCATTAGCCTGAATCGCTATGTTTCTGAAACACCTACTTCCTCCACTGAACCATCCTGTCGAAAGCGCAACCAAGGGAGTATCATCAGAGTGGTATTTCCCATCGCAAGCTGATGGGCCGCCTCCATCCCCGCCTTCTTCAAAGCTGTTAATCGTCAGGGTTGCGCTGGTTTGCCCGAGAACTGGAGGCGAACATGTGTAAGTTGGGTATTGTTGTCCTTGTACACAGCAGTCCGAGTCGCATTGCCCTTCAGGTGGAGTGATGCCTGGGATAGAGCCAGGATTACATGAAAATTGACTTCTAACAGAAGCAACAAAGAGGAGTGACAGTGCTGTTAACATAAGAACATAGCTGTAGTTTTTCATCATCTTTTGCTACCTACAAGTTCCTGGTTTATCATCAATGGAGTGGTTGGAATTGCAAGTGTTTTCTGGCTTTTTTGCAAGGGTGTTGCCAAGGAAAATAAAGACTACTAGACTAGGCTACTCTCATCAAATGAACTAATGAAGTTCTCTCTCTATATATAAAAACACCTTCCATTTAAATACTTTCTTATTGATTTTAGTTCAACAAAGTAAATTATTTAAATGAGACGAAAAGAATAACATAGTCAAAACTTAAGGTGCATGAAAGTGTCAAATGGACTGATTCAAATTCAATAAATAGGTTTATTGAAGCAATGAAATCCAGTATAAGTGAGGGTTATCAGTAGTATTTTTGGAAGAGCTTGCATGGATGCCGGATTAGTCTTTGGCACAAGTTGTATGATTGAATTGTACTTTTTGTTAATTACAAAAAAATTGTACTTCATGTTTGATCTTTTGTCCCAAATTTTAGAAGTATGGCACAATGATTTTTTAGATGCATCCAAAGCTTTGTAGTTTTGCTACATAAAATTTTGCCGAGACTAATCCTGTATAAATCCAAAATTGTCTTGCAACAAAAATTATTTGATCATTGTCTAAAGCTAAATTTGTAATCCATTAGGACATCCAATTAGTAAGACAGTTTTGGATTGATTTATCGGATTCTGATATTATTAATTGGTTTGGGTATATATGTAGAAACCTTTCTCATTATTATTATAGTGGGTCTTCGAAAAAAAAGAGTTTGTATTGGATAAAGTAGGGTAAAATTCGGTTTTGATCCCCAATGTTCGGGGTAGTTTGACCGAGTCAATATTAATTTTTTTTTAATAGAATTAGTTTTCGAAAAGTATCTTCTCACCAATTTCAGTCTTTTTAACAAAATTTAGAGAGAACTAACAGTTGTTCTACTCCTTCCATCAACAACAAATTATTTTATTATTTTCCTTCTAACAGTGAGCCACGGGTCCTTGACTCATAATTTTAATAAAAAAATAACAAAAGAAAAATTAAATTCCGATTCCCTTCTTTTTCCTTGTAGTTCGTTCAACTTCAACCACAGTTAGGAGGGAAAAAATAAAATAAATTGGCCGTTGATGGAAGGACTTGAACAACCATTAATTCTCTCTAAATTACGTTAAATAGACTGAAATTGGTGGAAAAACACTTTTTGAGGATTATTCTGTTAAAAAAAAATTATTAGTGACTCATTTTTCAAGCTACCTCCAAATTTTGGGGACCAAAACCGATTTTTACTCAATAAAGTATATACTTCAACTTTCTTGTGCTAAAACTTTGGTTCGGAAACGCAAAAGAACTGTACATATCTTTTTTAAAAAGATTAGGCTCGGAAATTTTCTCTTTTCCTAATCATTTTTCTATTGTTATTGATTTTCCAATGTACATAAAAAAAATCCAATAATTCTGTTATTTATTCTACCATTAAAAATGAGATGTTAGTGTATTTTTTTGTACCAACTTACATTGATCAAGAAAATCTTTATTGTCTTTTTAAAAAAAAAAAAAAAAAAAGAAGAAGAGGAGGCAAAACTTGGTATTTTCAACACCTAACTGATAATTCGATATTCTAATTTTTTAAAAATAAAATTCATATATGGAAATTGGGAAAAATTCATTCCATATTGCTTATTCTATAATTCAAATTATATGTAAAATACTTATGGGATCAAATTTATAATGAGTAAATAAATCATTTTATTTTATCTAATGAAAAAAGAAAGAACAAGAAAAGAAAGGAAATACTTTCTCCATTCTAATACTATTGTTTCTCAAGCTGTTTTAGTATATCAAATAAAGAATTTAATGGACGAATGCCATAAAATTTCCGTAATTACACACACACACACACACAAAGAAAAGAAGGCAGATTATGGCAACAAACAAATACGTAGTAAAATATACTGTTATTACATTATTAAAAAAAAAGAGCACTCTTTTCCGATTTATTTATGGAAACATAAAACCAAATTAGGAAAGGAAAAAAGCGGTAAAGAAACCACTCTGTTTTTCCCTTCAAACTCTATATATAGCCCTCAGCGATTTCATCAAGCTAACAACAATCCTGATTAACTTACACGGCGATGACAATGGAAGTAATATCCATTGTGAAGGGAAAAACTGGTGGTGGTCGGCGTAAGATTAAGATGGAGAAAATCAAGAAGCTTAGGGGATTGCGGACTTCGCTTTCCAAACGGAAGAAAACTCTGTTCAAGAAGGCTGCGGAACTCAAAGAATTATGCGGAGCTCAGGCCGCCGTCATTATTCAATATCCCACCGGCACGTTTAAAGTCTCCGGAAACGAGTCCGAGATTAATTCCATCATTGATGAGTATCTCTCTATAGCCGGATCTTCTTGTTCCGGTGTCGCCTCCTCCTCCGCCTCCGCTTCAATCAGAGGCCGTGATCATGAGGAATTTAAAGGGTTTTCTTGTGCAAGCGGAACTTCTTCTTTCTTGGGTCGTGATCATCAATCAGAAGTTCTTGAGGGTTCGATGGCGATTGATCAGTGGCCCAGTACTAATGCCGGTTGTCAAGGGCTTTCTTTTGAATGTGGAACTTCCTCTTCCTCTGTTGCCGGTGGAGCCTCCAATTTCGGCCAGGATCATCAGATTCTTGAAAGGACGGAGAGTGTTGAAGAGGAGATTAAGGATTTAACAGCTGTTGATCTCAGACCTAATCACAATGCCGATCAAGGGTTTGTTCCGATTAAATATGGAGAAGTTCTTGAGGATCATGACTGGATGGATGAACTGTTGACCTTGTTGGTTGAAGATGATATTGAAACTGCTCCATCAAATTCATTATTTCCACCATGAAAATCCTGATTATTCTGGCCTAATTCTCACTCTCCCCAGTTACTGATTGCAATACTTCCTCCTATAGTTTCTGATGCTTTTCAGTATCCTCTAAGGGTGGGTTTGAAGATTTACAGACTTTAACTAAACTTAGGAGAAATTCTTTGTGTTATTTAGGTTACGTTTACATTTCCTGCAGTAAATTTTTGAAGAAATCGTGGAAACATTACGCGATTGAATACTTTGTTCTTGCTGGATAATCTATGGTGATGAATCACCCATTAAAAGACTAGCTATTTATCTTTACCCTTTTTGGCGTATGTAATAACAGACTGGTGTTTTTCTGCCCGGTTTCAGCTCTGTAACTCTCTTTAATGGAAGTTTACTGTTTATATTCATTTGATGGACTTTTGCTCTAGTTAATACTCTGCAAAGATTTTGATGAACTTTTGGTACAGCAACCCACATTTAATCACTCTGTAAAACTTTCAATCTAGATGATCAGATGATACCTCTGTTCCAGAAACAAACATTCATTCATGTATGACTTTAGTGTTCTAGTTTTTGTTCTGATTTTAGCTTCTTATGGTGAAAACACAATAAGGTGTTTTGAGAATGTAAAAATGTGCGTTAAAGGCTCGGAACATGATCCGTGATTATAGGTTCAGAGAGGGGACCAAGTTATAGGCAACTTTGCCCATTCCTCCTGAGGAACACCTAAGGCCTTCCACACACCTTTGGAGGCCTCAACAACGTTGTTAGCACAAGGAGGTTGAAAATCATCGTCCTCGTCACAACCCACCGTCGAATCGCACTCATCAACAACAATGGCATTCACAGACTTTCCATTGGGTGCAGTAATGGTGATGTTGTTCAGACACCTTGCACCGCGGTTGTACCATCCAGTCGATAGCGCTACAACGTGCATTTCATCGCTATAGTACCTCTCACTACAGCTGGTTGGCCCATAAATCTCGTTTTCAAAGCTGCTCAAAGTGAGAATCGCTCTGGTCTTTTGGCTTACTGGAGGCGAGCATTGGTATGTGGGATAATAGTGTCCTTCAATGCAGCAATCTGGGTTGTTACTGCAGAAACCTGGTGGTGTTTTTCGAGCTTTGACCCTGCCATTTGGCTTGCAAGTTTTGAGCTCTGCCCCGGAGGAAAGAATGGTAAGGAAAAGCAGTATCATTAGAAGGAATGATTTAGAGCTGAAATTTTTCATGGTCATAGTAAATAAATATACACTAATGTGTTTTTGCTGAATTATTATGGTTTGAACCAGGAACAATGGATCATCTACACATTTATAAAGAAAAAGTTTGGAATAAGACAGATTCTTCAATGTTTGAAGATTCTCAAATTTTTAGAAAAGAGCCAAGAATGAGAACTTGGCGTGGCCGGCGATGATTCCTCTTCTCCATGTCCACATCTGAAGGAAATGCCAATGTTTCACAGTTTTGTTTCACATTGGTATAATTTTCGAAAATGCGTGTGTTCCCATTGACAGTAACACGATTCAAAAACAGGATCATATTGTGGCCTAAAAGAGCTAAGCGGCAAGATTTAAGCGAGATGAACCTGGCTTAATTTGTTACATTTTGTTGTGTATATTTCCACAAAGACAGCACAAATAAAATGCGGCTAAATTTAATAGTACAAGCTAGGTTCGTCTTGTGAAAATAATATTAACACACTGAAATGAATTATAACACCCCAGAAGTTGGGGGTTGCAGCGGTTTCGAGGATCAGCTAGAGTTTTCAAAAGTAGTAGTACAGAGGATTCAATGGTTTCGGGAACGATTTTCAGCAAATATGAATGAAAGTTGTGTTGAATCTAATCTCTTCCTAACCTATAAATACAATATGATCAATGAATTAACCGAGGAATGGTTCGAAATACAACTACAAGATGACGCGTTGGAATGCCATTGCATCAGCGTAAGCTTCATCAGCTTCAGTGCCCTTCCAAACAGCAAGCATCAACTTCCCCTTTCTGTTTCTACCACTCTTAGATTTGAGATGATACCATTCTGGATCTATTGGACTATAAGGGGGAACTTGACTTGGAATCTCATGGAGATCAAGCCAAACCATCCCAACAAACTCGTCCTTCGTAAAATCTTTGTCCATGACAACAACTTCAACCGCAGCTGACTGCGAAATCCTTTCTTCTGACAAGGCAAAAACTGCATTCCACTCTGGATTCAGGCATTTTTCGACGTGATTGGTTACTCCTCGATAGTCCCCGACCTTAACTTCAACATAAGGGTCCAGGGTCTGATTAACATCCATGCCACGGAGGTCTCGAGCTCTAACAACTTGTACATAAAGAAATCGCTTGGGTTGGGCTGGCGTTGTTTCCTCAAGCTCCAATTCAGTATGTACCGTAGAATGAGAGTATGATCGAACCAATCTTTGAGCACGAGACTCCGCTGTTTTCTGTCCAGCCTCATTGTTCATTCCTGACTGCAGGGAGCCGCCAGGTCGATAAACGACAGTGTTGGTGTTACCACGGATGGGATTCTTTGCCAAATGGTAATTCTTCTTACGAGGAATTGCAAAAGAAGTTAAATCAGGAACTTGCTCATATCCATTCAGGCTTTGTGTTGAATATCCGGAACCATCAGGCCGATGACCAACAGTGTTGCTGCGGATGAGATCCTTTGCAAAATGGTGATTCTGCCCATTAGGAAATTGCCCATATCGCTCACGGCTTTGTGTTGAATATCGGGAGCCACCAGGTCGATAATCAACAGTGTTGTTGCGGGTGAGACCGCTTACCATCTCATAAGCCTGAGACCTTATAATATAAAGTTTCAGGCCTAGTTCTCCACTAGAACTTGAGAAAAGGCTTCCCCTTTCCAGTGGGTAATGTGAGACAGGAGCATCAGAATAGGGAACAAATGCTGTACCCGGGACGCAAGCTTTCCCGAGGGAGGATTTGGATTTGCCATTTTTGTTGTTGTAGCTGTAAACATGGGCTTCCAGTGTCTGTTTTGGAATTTCATCTGGATAATAAATATTGAAGTAAAAGGTTTCATTCCAACAAGGGTTTAGGTCATTTTCTTTGACAGTAGTACGAATTTTCTGCCCATCTAAGCTAAGCTCAACGAATGCATTAGCTAAGCCCTTCCCATCCTTACTCGAGAGATTTCGGGCATTCACAACTTCCACACCAACTTTGGCTTGCCAGATTGAGTTGTACATTTTATCACTAGAATCTCCCTGCAGATGGAAAAGTGAGGCCGGCGCCATCAGAGGAGTTTTTAAGTAATTCAGAGGTGAAAAAAAACTTCCAATGACATGGAACATAAGCAGGACAGTCAAAATTTTCAGAGAGATGAGGCAAGCTTCAATGCAGCTCTATATAGAAAAACCAAAGATCAATTTTGGGGTGATCAACTATCATTGTCCTAAAAAAAAATAAAAAAAAATATCATTGTACTTTAATGGGGAGACTCTAATCGATTACCAGTTTCCTGTAGAATAGCTTGAACTCCTTGAAAAGAAGTGGACAAGGGATATAGCTGACACTACATTAAAAAGGAAATTCTTTAAGCTGGGAATATCTTGAAGAAGATCAGTTTTCCGATATCATCACTGTTCAGACCTTAACCAAATCATCTACTGGATGAGATCAGTATTCAGAATGAACACAAAGGAGATCAAAAGGAACACAGTATACAATTTTGGAAGACAACCTATTTTAATATATTTAGACAACCCTTTACAGCTACTGCAACAGAAAGAAAGAGAGAAAAGAACACCAATAACCTGTTCGGGAAACAACCGAGAAGAAAGAATGCTCCTTTCTTTCTATTCTTCTGCTTCTTCTTCCAGTTTTATGTTCTTACTCGTTCAAGATCGATACCCTTCTATTTTGTTCCTCCAACAAAGACCTGATGTATTTATATTAAAGAAGAAAGAACCATGAAGGAGAAAAAGGAGAAAAGTATACAACTGAGATGGTTCAAAGAAAGCTGAGAAACCATAAGAATGGTTGTTTTGCTTCTTTATTGGTATAGTGTAAACTTTCAAGTATATTTTAGCTGGTAAAAGAAACTAACAATCGTCAAATTACGCCGCATATATAGATTAATGGAATAAAAGGAATATCAAAGGAGTAAATAGTGGAAAAACAAGAACGGTCTAAGCTGGTTGGCGGTGGTACATTATTTCTTGTCTGCTTTTCTAAAGAAACTGTTGTTTATGGTCATAAGTCATAACAACCAAATAAGAGCAAATCACTATTAATGGTGCCTTAAATTGCAAAAACTAAATTTTTTAGCCATATTCAAATTATATCTATACTAAGTGTTAGACCCGTCCAATGGACGGGGAAGGCATCCACATATAAACATTTTTATATAAATTTTGTATTTTTATAAAATATGTAATGACTTCATTGGAAAATATAAACACAAACACCAACAACACTTTATCAAATAAATACAATGATAATTTATTTAACGCATGGAGGATTGTTAAGAAATTCAAAATAGAGAATATTAAAAAATAAAACAAATGAACTTCGAATTGAATGATTATAATTCTATATATCATGTAAAACTTCTTTGTAGACTACATTTGTAATCATGGAATTGGCATCATCATTTTCATCAATTATCAAGACCTTTATTCATTTTCTTGAAGTGACTTATGTTTTTAGTGCTTTTATTATTATTTTTTTAACATACGATGCATTCTCACATTATCTCTTTTTTTTTTGGCTAACCCATTTATTCGTTTGATATAACTGTTTCTTGTTATCTATCTAATAATTTATTTTTACTTTAACTTACCTGTTGTAAAAAATATTTTATTTAAAATATGAGGGTGGGAGTATCTTAGGGTGAGAGTACCTCTTCTTACAATTTGATGCAATAACAGACATGCTAACTGACCTTAGATTCAAACCAATAAGGACAAGCTCTTGAAGATTGACAAAGTTCATAGCAATAGCAATCGAACCCTCATCTCTAATTCTATTTAACCTTCACCCATCAATGTGGAATTTTCTCAAAAGCTTATAGTTCTCAGCTACGGCCACCACACCAGCGTTCGTACAATCCAAAGCCTTTACTAAATGCAAAATCTCTAGCTTAGAACATTTAGAAATTGCGGTAAACCCAATATCGCTCAATTACAGCCTCTCTAAATGAATCTCCACTAAATTATATTCTCTTTCCTTTTAGCTATCGTCTCCAAAAGTCTATCCCAATCGACGGTGACCGGTGACCATGACCAATTTTCAGACGGTGAGATTGTCAACCTTTGCGCATGATAACAGCTCTGAATTAAAAGGAAAAAAATCAATTAGCAACGATAACAAAGAGATATATATAGAGAACGACGACAGCAAAGCTTATCAATTTCATGCATTCTTCATCATCGCAGGCACAACAAAGATATAAATACCTTAAGATCCGGTTCCCGGTCAGCCAATCATCTCCGGCATCTCTAACAACTCTTCGACTGGCACTCCTCCACCGTCCGATCAGCCATCTCCACCACCGCACTCCTATTTTCCTCAAGCATCTCTCGCCACAGCATCATCATCCAGTACTCTCGCCTTCTTCTTCTTCCGTTCTCGCCGTTCGCCACCTCTGTATCGGCCGTAAACCTACCGGTGTTTTAAGAAAAATATGAAAAGCCGCCTCTCTGAGTTAATTGGGTGATTCAGATGGCTGTGCGGAGGAGAAAGCATATGTTTTAGGGATTTAGTTTATGAGAATCCGCTAGTTTCAGTTTTAAATGTGATTACTTTTGGATTTATAGGAATTTGTTTTTTTTTAAATGACATTTTAAATTCACTGGTGATAAGGTTTATGCAGATCTCTCTAAAATTTGTTAGGATTTGGTACTCTTTCCAATCAATCTCTCTGTTAGGATTTGGTTCATGAAAATAAGAGTTCGGTTTTTATTATTTTGTTTTTTTAAAAAATTATTTCAGTTGCTTATTTTTTGGTTTTATTATTTTGTTTTTTGCATTTTTAAGTCTTAGAAATTAAGAAAATGTCACATAGGATTAAATCCTGTGTTGCATGTGCTCCATGCCTTTAGTTTTCTCTCTCCGCTTTTTGCCTTAGTATAGTATATAGATAGATAGATTTTGTTTTCTTGTAGTCAATTGGAAGCATACATGAAAAATGCTACTATGTTGCAGAATCTAGAATGCACAAACGATAAATGAGTTTGACCCTTCGGCAATTGGAAAACTCACACTATCATCTTGTTCTGAAGAGAAGGTGCTAAACAGAGATACCTGCAGCTTTTCTAGTCTGTCAACATTAGCATTCTACAAAACAAAGGGCTGCTTCAGGGCTGAGCAAAACCTATACAAAATATACAAAGTTTTAATACTCTTCATCTTTTTACAGTTTCTTCAACATTTAATTACAAGTGAATATCATTCAAGCAGAAATATAAAACAGACTGACGAGGAAGAACACGGCCAATCTTTCCCGCAGAAATATTTGCATCAAATGGTCACACTGACCTACAACATACTATCAGTCCTTGCTGGTAATCTTCGGAAGAAACTTAATGGTGCTGCAGGCAACCTGTGTCGGAATCTGGGATGCCTCATTATGTAGAATCCAGTCATGACAGCCAAAGCCTGGAAGGGCGTTGCATACAACACGATAGCAGCAACAAGGCAAAAGATCACGAATATGGCAGTTGCACGGGGATCTCGCCAACTCAGCAATGCCTGGATCCGCTCTCCTTGAGCTGCAACATCACCAACTACTGTCTGTATGCGACCAGCCACACTTCTTAAACGGTCATATCTCATTCTAAGTATATCTTGACTCCTTGAAGTAGGAAATGTATCAAATTCCTCATCAAGCTCATCAGGATGTGCTGCATCAGCGTAGGACATTCTCGTGTTCATGTGAGGTGGATACTTTGGCCTATAGCGATAGTTCCAAATCCCAATCACGAACATGTACAGAAAACATGTGGGCAAGATTAATTCCGGAAAGCAGATGAGCATCACAAAAAGAATATGGACCAGAGATGTAGTGATTGGGTTCTTCCACATACAAACATCCCCAAACCATTTGGAGACTGCAAATAACCCACTAAAAACAGACATCAAGCGGAAAAAGTTGGCTTTACTACGTCTCATGCTCCAGAGATGTGAATCTGAATCAGTCATGTACTCAACAACTTCCTTTTTGACAGGGGGCTCAGCTCGGCCAAGCCGAGCTGCTACTATATTGACAGCTTGGCGACGTAACATCTCCTGCTGCATTATGTTCAAAGGCCGGACATAATGCATCTTTGGCAATGGCGGCCTACTGTAAAGAAGCATCATATTCACAAATGATGTGCATGAAAAGCGTATTGCCAAATGCAACTCACCCATTTTCTTTACACCTGAAGGGTGAAGAACTAGCAAAGGATAAGAATGTGTGTAAACGCGTCCAGTTTCAAGTGTAGATAGCCGAATCCGTACTTTACCTACTGTCTTGTCTTTATTACCATTTGAACCCACATCATGGCTATCAAAAACACCTACTGTGAGAACTGTTGCAGGATCAAAAACCTCCCAAGTATACTGTTCATTGTATTTGGGATTCAAACTGTCAACGACAGTCCGGGTTCTAATCCACTTTTGACCATACTTAGCCACACAATATGTGTCTGATGTACCCCTTCCATCTCTTGTTTTCATTGGTTGCAGCCCATCAGCACTCAATACTCCTAGTTCTAGTACACCTATTGGTGGCTTCCAAAGTTGCTTTGCTGTGGGGCGGAGATCACTGCTATAGTGAGTAGATTCATCCAATACATGGTATCCTCCATCAAGGCAAACACGAAGGTGAAGCCTAGTTGCAAACTTGTCTTTCTTTGTCTCTTCCACATCAGTGACACTATGTTTTTGAAGGTTGAACCACCGTGAATGAACACTACGGTCATCAATACGTTTTTCAACAGAAGTCAATGGTATAATGACCTTTCCCAATGTTTCATCTTTGTTTGGACCAACACGATCTTCAACTGAAAGAAGTAAATGATCATCAAAGGGTTCAGCAGTAACAAACATCAGATCCTCATTCCAGAGGGCATTCACCATCCGAGTTTGGACAGGTTTAGTCCGAAGAACTTGACCACCTATCTGTACCTTGACATACACATTTGGAAGATGATTGTTTTCAGCCACAACCAAGTCCTGTGCCTCAATTACATTGACACGGACATACCATAATCTTGGAGAATGGTAGACTTTCGAGCGGATTAGTGAGTATGGAAATGAGGTATCAACTGAGCCAACTGCATCAGAATGCCAAGCATCAGGATAAGCTTCATCAGCTTGAGTGCCCATCCACACTGCAAGCATCAACTCTCCCTTCTTCTTTTCCCCACTCTTAGACTCAAGACGATACCATTCTGGGGCTAATGGACTATCAGGAGGGACTCGCCTTGGAACATCAGCAAGATCAAACCGAACCAATCCAACAAAGTCATCTATCAACATATCCTTATCCATGACTACAACTTCAATTGAAGATGACTGTAACCTTTCTTTGGAAAAGGCAAACACTGCATTCCACTCTGGATTTTGCCTTTTCTCAAAGTGAATGGTTTTCCCACGATAGTTTCCAACCCTAACTTCAACATAAGGGTCAAGGCTTCCAGTAACATCCATGGAAGGGAGATCGCGTGCTCTAACAACTCGTACAAAAAGGAACTGCATGGGCTCGACAAGGTCATAGGTGCTGGCTGGCTTGTCTGATCTCCATACTCGACCACCAACAACTTGTCCTCCTCCAAGGACAGGTGATGTTTCCTTAAGTGAAAATTCAAATGGCTGTGAAGATGAATCAGAGTATGTTTGAATGATTTTTGGTGCACGAGACTCAGCTCTATACTGTCCGCCCCCATAGTTCATTGGTGCCTGGGAGGCATCAATGGCAAAGCCAGACTGTTGCTGCTGATGTTTTGCATTCGGCAAGTGGTGAAATGTGCGTCTAGAGCTCTTTTTCCCACTTGGAAGTGCATCAGGAGTTACATTTGGAACTTGCACATTTCTTTCTTGTGTTTCAGTTGGATATGAACTTGTATATGAAGAAGAATCCATTCCAGGAAGTGGGTTGGAGGACCGTATATAAGAATCATCTGTGACAAAAACTTTCAGGCCTAATTCCCCACTACAACGAGAGAAAAGGCTTCCTTTCTCCAGAGGGTAATGAGAAATAACTGCATCAGAATAGGCAACAAATGTTGTACCAGCAATACGAACTTTGCCAAGAGAGGATTTCGATTGGCCATTTTTATTGTCGCAGTAAACATGGGCTTCAAGGGTCAGGTTAGGCAATTCCTCCGGATTAGATATATTGAAGTAAAATGTCTCGTTCCAATAAGGGTTAAGATCCTTCTCTTTGACAGTTGTTCGGAATTTCTGCCCATCTAACTTAAGCTCCACATATGCATTAGATGAGCCCTGCCCATCTTTAGGCAAAAGATTATGGGCGCTCACTACTTCGACACCAACCTTGACTTTGCTCATTGAGTTCTATATATCAACTAAATGCTTGTTCCGTTTCAGGAGTGAGAACAAACTATGAAAAGTTAAAATCCACTCGCTGTATCAGATAGGAGAAAATTTCCCTGGATAAGATATTTAATTTTATTAACACATGCAGCTGGAATTAAGCAAATCAGAAGCAAAGAGAACCAACAAAAGTGAATATACAGCAGAAAAACTTTTCACCGGGAAGAGGCAAGAGTAAGTGCCATTTCACACATTACACTTCACAAAACACACACAGACACACACATAATATCAAAGATCAATTTCAAAGCTAAATCCTGCAGCAAAATGAAAACATAAAGGCAATTTAACTTTATGCATCCAATTCCTCAGAATAGAAAAGAGTGTATGCAGATGCTCAGACAAAGTATATCCCGGAGACCACAGAGGAATTGAAGGAAATGAACCAATAAAGTTCATCCAACATCCCAAAGTAATTATTCTTTTTCTGATACTTTAGATAGAATCTTCAACAAAAGGTTTCATGTTGGCTATCACAGCTAGCTCTAAAATGATCGAAGTCCTCGGAAAAGAGGAAAGGGGGATTGAATTGAAGACCTAAAGCAGGGTAACTTTTTTAAAACTATCAATCTATTCGCAATTCCAAATAATCCACTTTCATGAATCAACTTCTGAAGATAATGTAACACTTAAATTTTATTTTTTTTAATCCAGAAATTCATAAAAATATCCCTTTTCCATGTGTTCAAGTGATCATTATTCAGACCTTCCCCAAATCATCATCAATCAGATAAAAATGACAAAAATAAACATAAGATACTTATGAACAAAGCAACCCATTTGAATATTTTAAAAACTTATCACAGTCAACCCAACAAAAGAGAAAGAACAAAAAATTTACCTGCTTCAGAAAGGAAATCCGCAAAAAGAATTGAAAAAAGAAAGCTCCTTTATTGCTCTTGTTCTTTGTCTTCTGCTCTATTAATCCACCAAAAAACGTTACGTCTAAACTCTTAAGCGTACAAATATAACGAAAAGAACTGAACCCGGGATATATTTCAAACAATCAAATAAAAGGATAAAAATCATCAAGGGAAAAAGGGTGGAGAAAAGAACACACAGAGTCGTTTTCTGAGATGGTTCGAAGAAAGAGAGGAAATAATGATAAAAACGATTGTCTTCTTAACAACTAAGCGTGTAACAGATACTCGTTTAATATACAGCAGAGAGATGAACAGAACAAAAAAAAATCAGACACGAAAAAGGGAATAATGGTGTGAAGAAGAATGGTCCAATCTCTAAAGTCCACTCTCTGGTTGGCGGGCTGGGACGACTTCTCGTCAGCATTGCTGATATCAGTGTTTCTTTCCTAATTGATGAAAATAACGTTAATTTTTAGTACAGTTGTTTACTGAATTGGTCCCTATTACTTCAATAAATGAGCTTTTATTACCGTATATTTTTGGAGGGCTTTAACTTCACAATTTCTAATTTTTGAGTTGATATATTATCTTATCGAATCTCCAAATATGGGGAGTAAAGCAAGTGATTCGCTATTGGTGCAGTATTAATTATCCGACTATTAAAATTCTTATGGCCCTTTGTTTGATTTATACAGATTCGGATTGGACAATTACCTCATTTTCAAATTGAGACCATGATTGTTATAAATACTTTTGATTTTGGGTTTGATCTTTTAAGTTTGTGTGGAACCTATATTTGATACATTAACATTGACTATAAGGTAAAGAGAGTGGCCAATAGGAATATCTTTCTATTTCAACACTTCGATTGCCATGTATACACATAGTAATAGAAAGTAGACGTTGATATAAACTTAAACAGTAAGTAGTGAAGCTTTATTCGATCAAATATGGAATACTAAAACAACATTTGGTCAAATGTAAGGGATCACCTAAATCTTTTAAAAAAAAATAAATATCTGTCTTATTTGTTTGTATGTGACTGTTTAAGAATCCCAATGGTTACTTTAAATTATTTTTTATTCAATTTAATAAATAATCTATTTTGTTATACTATTTGTGTTTGTTACGTAAATGAGAATGAGAACACTACTCCTTTTTTTTTTTTTTTTTCCGTTTCATTATACATCAGCGTTATCAGCATGCGATTTTGTGATGTTCATTCCTTCAATAAAGAAATAACAATGGCTACCTGTACGAATATATTAGGATGTTCAAAATGTGGGAATATTTGTTTGGTGATACTGATTCCCATTGTGTCGCGTGGACCATACAGCTTGAGAGAGACTCTTCCTACCGAAGAAATCTTTGAAGGCCTTTTTTTTTTCCCCTCAATTTCTTTCAGATATATGTACAATGCAATTTCTTAATAAAGTAATAAATCGAGATAACTTTTAAACACCCCTTTCCAATAATTGGTGGGGGGTTTTTTTTTTTTTTCCCCATTCATCAACGCCCTAAAGTTCATATATGAGTCAGACTGCATATATAAAATGGTTTTCCTTTTTTCAATTTTTGTTCTGTTCCTTTTCAGTCTTTCAGATCCAAAACTTCCATGAATATACGACACATTAATCAATTTTTCTTCCCACCCCTGAGAATCATATCAGATGATGAGATTTTGTTGGATGTCATGAGTATCATTTGAGCGTAATCGTATTTACTGGTCCAAAGTTTACATTTACAAAATCATATACAAAACTGTATCGCACAACTCGTGTACAATTAAATAAACATCAAACGTTCATATTTTATGAAATCTTATGATGAGTATGGTCATAAAAAAAAAATTATGATAATTATAAAGACTTAAAAGGACTATCCGAGTGGACAAAACACGGACCAAAAGTCTTGTAAGGAAAAAAAAAATAAAATAAAAGACTAGCATAGACTAATGTACGCTTGTATGTGCTTCTAATGGTAATTTTGCTAGAAATTCAAGACCTAGTAATGCAAATTTTTGGATGTTTCGTCGAGTTGGTTTTTTCATAAGCTATCTTTGTTTTCTTGGGTGCTTCGGTCAAAAAAATTTTCAAAAAAAGATGTGGATAAGAATAATTTTTTTCTGTTTTTGGTGGACAAAACTAATTGTCCCGGATTTACCAAATCCGAATCTATCCATTTTGTACTAAATCCGAATCTACCAAATAGAATTGATTCATCACATAGTTGTAATACAAGGAGATTCGGATTTGCCAAATCCAAATCTAGTATAAAATGGATAGATCCGGATATGGCAAATCCGAGATAACTAGATTTGTCCACATGACTACAGGATATATATTTTTGTCCAGGTCCTTCTATTGAAAATTATTTGAGTAAAAAACTCTTATTTTCTTTCAATAGTTAATGACAATATACGTTCACCTAACTAGATTAAATTATCTCTAAACTCTTTTGTAATTCGGTCACTCAATTAATTACATGGTACCAACAATATGAGCAACTCACAAGTTACGTTGTGATTGTAATACGTAAGCTGTAAGTTGTGTCAAGTACCGGAAAATATTGGGGAAATTTCATGGACAGAATTGAAGTTTCCGACGAGGACCAAAAAGTGCCATGGCAAAGCAATTGAAAAACGTGGTGTTACCATACTTTTTTTTTCTTTTTTAATACTATAATACTTTAGTTTGTGACTTTATTAAAGGAAATTGCACGAGTGTTATCTGGAATTTAATATATATATTCATGTTAATGCACGTAACGTCATTTTTCACTCTATCCTTCATTTCACGTCTTGCTTTATCATGTAAAGTACACCTTTTTATACTTTTGATTTATTGATTCGTGGTAGACGGATGAAGAGAAGAGGATGCAATTCCCAAAGATGATTTTGTTGTTTAACTCATTTGAGGAAAATATTTTAAAGGCAAAAAGCTTAAACAAAGATACGATATCTGAATTCTACAGCATTACTGAAGAGATTTAAGTTTTACTTATTTCCTTTGTAGTTGGATATACGCGCATGATTGTGAGGTGAATGTATATTTTAAAATCTTCTAGAATATGATTTTTTTTTTTTTTGTACAATGCATAATTTATATAGTAAAATGACAGTCAACTATTTGAGTTGGTATCAGAGCAATATAAAATGACAAATAATAAATTGAATTTTTTTTTAAATATATCTAAAGCTATTTTTCTTTTTTCTCTAAAATATCGACATTACCATGCGTACATGATTTTTACAACTCTATTAATATATCATATGATCTATTTCATTTACAGATTTACTCCAATATTATTGTTAACAATTGTAGTAAAAAAAATATCTCACCTCCTCTTCACACCACCTTCAACACCGCCGTTGTATCTTTTCATCCCAAATCTTGGTTGCAAATTTGCATCGATGATGGCAGATTCAATAAGGAAAAGAAAAGGAAAAATAACCCCAAAAAGAAGAAACCAAAAAACAGAGGAAATCAATCTGATTCTAAGGAAAAAATAAGCTAATTTAACTGATTAAATACATCAAGCAGAAATCAATCTCTCCGGCTTGAAAATATTTGGCTCATTCCAGTATCACTTTAATTTCCAGAGGTGTACATATCTCTTTTAATTTGCATGACTGATATATCGAACTGTACGTTTTCTTCATGGTGACATCTTCAAAGTTTATGATGAATAATACTATAGACCGTTTGTAATTTGTTGCTGTTTTTATCCTTGTATTTGTAAGGATTATGAAGTATTTTTTTTTTTACTTGAAATAATTTTTGAAATAGAAAGAAATCGGAATGGGAGGAACCCGATTAACTAAACTGATGATGAGAGATATTCTCATCTTAGTGGTAAAGATTGGGGGAAAAAAATGACGCGCACCATAAAAAATTTATAGTATTTTTAAAGAATCCATTTGGAGGAATATAGCTTGAAGGCAAAAGATGGAATCCAGACACCTTTACTTGTTATTATCTGAATTCAATTTTTCTTATTGGAAAATGGATTGAATCATTGAAGCAAAAACACTTGTGACATGTCATTTCGAACGTAAGGGACTAAGGCACACAACTTTACATACTATATGAA